TCAGTGTGCTTTCCCAGTTGAATTCACTGAAGTGCTAGTTTGGTGCTCAGACTTTACCCACACTGCTTGCTCCTTTCTCAGATGTTCTCAGTGTGCATTGAGTTTGAGTTTACTGGATTTAACCCCAAATTTATTTAGTCAGACTTCCCAATATCTTGAGAAAAGTCTCTTCAGACCAGCATGCGGAGATGCTACCTGCAGGGTGGTAGAACCATGGAGCTCCGCGGGGGATGAATCTAGAGAGGGAAGTCATGGCCAGGCTGGGAAAGACTGGCATGAAATGCAAAGAATGCCAAACTTCTGCCCTCCGCATAAAGCCACCGAGAGACTTTAGACAAGGAACTCAGCTTGTCTACTCTGCATTTTATGAAGAGAATCTGTGTTGTAGCCTAGATGATGGGATGGAAGCAGGAAAGGCTGGAGGTCCAGGAGCAAGTTAGGTGGTGACATCAGCAATCCATGCAATCACTGTGAAAGCCTGGATTAAGGCTATGACAAGAACAGGAGAGAGCTAAGTTAGGGAACATTCTTTAAAAGCAGAATTGATAGGTTTGTGACTAATTGTATCTCAGAGTGATAGAGGGTGAGGTGCCCTTGAAGTCTTCCTGGTTTCTTCCTTAGCAAGTTGGCAGATTAAGTTGGCATTCACCTTGGTAGGGAGAAGACAGACAGAGTGCAGGGAGGGAGCAGTCCCAGGGCAAGGCTGAGGTTGAGGTAACCCAGGAAAGTCCCCTGAAAACTGAGATGTGGGGCTCAGGAAGAGCCCTTGGCTAGATGTAGAGAGCTGCGTCACTGGAATATTGGCTTGGTTGAGTCCTAGGTTTGAATGGGGCTTCTTAGTGTGCACCAGGTGAGATAGGCCGGATGCCGTAAGAGATCGACAGTAGACAAGAGTAATGCAAAGAGACAAGGAGACACAAGGGAAACCGGAAAGGATGCAGTGAGGAAGCCAAATGGTAAGGAGAGAACTCAATACCCAATGCTGGAAAAAAAAAAAAAAAAACACGACAATAGTGGGGAATGGTAAGGAGAGCAGCCTTTGCATTGGAGAGTTTGAATATAATTGCTAACCACAGGAGAGCAGATTCAGTGGAGTGGAGGGCTGGGCTGGGCCTGTTTGAAGCTTAAAGTGAGTCAGATTGTTGAGGGTTGGATTGGACAGCCACCATCAGGAAGTGTACATAGGGAGTGCCCAGGACTCCTTCAAGGAGCTTAGCTCTGAACGGAGGCTGTGAGCCACAGGGCAGAAATTAAAGGGGTGGAGGTCTCCAGAGAAGCCATTTTCTCAAAGTGGATATAAGCCAGAAAGGGGGGAGCACAGAGGGAGGGAGAGAGGAAGAAGGTGAGGGAGAAGAGAGGGAGGGAGGGAGAGAAGAAGGGAGAGGAGGGAAGGGAGAGGAGGGAAGGGAGAGGGAGCACTCAGAGCAGGTGACACAGAGGTGACCACTGAAGTAGGTCCCCAGCATCTTATTTGTGCTCCTTTGCCATCAATTGGTGGATGTCCCCGAGATACAAATCTCAAGATTGACTCAGTGCATCAGGTAAAGAACACTTTCTACATATTTCTGTAGTATGCCCACTGTGGCAGGTAGTCCTAATTTTGTTTTGTTTTACATTTATTTATTTAGGCGAGGGTGGGCCATGTTGTCAGGCAAGCACCCTTACCTGCTGAGCTCTCAATGATCCTGGTATTTTAACTTGTTACATCATCCCTCTGATCAAAAGCAACATCATTCCATTGTTGATGGGGAGTAAAATAGAAGTTTATTCAAGCTTTCAGAGCCTGACTCAAATCTTGGTCTCCCTGCCCTCTCCAGCCAGCCAGGCTGTTGGGTCGATTCCCCACAAACCTGTGTTGCTGTGCAAACGACCTACCAGCTCATTTGGACCCGCTCTCTACCTCCCTCCTATGGAGCAGCTGCCCCACTCCCCCACTCTTTCCTGCTCCTAGAACAAGGAAGTCCTTTGCAGCCCTGCCCCCAGACATCCATGCTTGTCCTGGGAATGCTCTTTTCTTAGTACTTGGTGCCACTGACTCCTTATCTGGCAGGTCCCAGCCCAGATCTCGGTCATCTCATCTGATGAAAATAGATTGTATACATGAGGTGCAAACACAACACTTCTTCCATCCTCTTAAGCAGTGATACTAGAACTTATTCATTTTCCTTTGCCCATTGTCCTTTCTCTGTCCTCTCACAAAGCAGGAGCTCCTTGAGGGCTCTTCTCATGCCCTACCCCTTGTCTCCTTCCTTCCCTGTGTCTAGCACAGCGCTTAGACAGAAGCCTTGGAAATACGTTTCCTAAATTAAGGAATGAACAGCTCCTCCAGTTTTAAAAACCCGGTTTGAAGGCCACCTCCACAGTGAACACAAATAATAGCTCCTATGTCTTGTGCTTCCTTTCTTCTAGCTGTTACTATACTGCATTATCTCATTTAATGGGCCCCCTCCACTTACCTCCCGTGACTCAGAGTAGTTATAACCCAGGCCACACACTCCAAAGCCACAGTCAGCCTCTTGCTTGTTTTCGTTGTTCGGGGTATTTGTGTTTTGTTTTCCGTGCTGTGGATTGAACCCAGGACCTTGCAGATTCTACTCTATAGCAGCTAGAGGGATGCTCCGCCCCTGAGCTATACCCCAGACCTCGCTTTGTTATTTATTTCTTGCATCCCTCTTCTTTGCTACAGTGCCAAGCTTAGTATTCCTCCACACACCCCACACCAAAGCCCACAGAGAGAGCTCAAGGGATGCTGAGAAGCTGAAGATGCCCTCAGGGTAAGGCGTCTTTATTATGGCAAAGATCAGCATAGTATGAAGTTAGTGAAAACATTATATTCAGTGACTGCTGACGAGAAGAAAAAGTGGGTTCATTCAGCCTGGGTGTTTTGTTTTGTTTTGTTGAGAAAATGAGGGAGTAGGACTGAGGAAAGACCCCGGCTTCAGCAGTCAGAGAAGTGAAATTTTAACTAAGTGTGAAGGGAATGTAGCCCATGTGAAACTAATCTAACTTTGTTAACTGCTGCCTGTGGTATTCAGGCTCCTACCCTCCCACAGAGGCTGGGGGATGGCTCCCTGTGGTTGAGTGTCAGCTAGAACAAACAATTCTTTAGCAGTCTGGATTTTTCTCAGGCATTTTAAGAGAAACTGGGTACTAGAATGTGGCCTTGAGCTGTGGTAAGCCACGCAAGTGTTTGTTTAGACCCTGACGGGCCAAGGTTGAGGCCTAGTTGAGAAGAGAGCTCAGTGGAGCCTGATTAGGGTTTGATCAAGAAGAACATCTTGATGGATTACAAACTTCAAAGAGAAAACCATTGGCAAGTAGAGGAAACCCTGTTCTACTTGTAAAGCTGAGAATCACAATGGAAGCAGGCTAATTTGAGCTTTTTGAGGTTTTTTGAGACATACTGTTCAAGCTCACTATTTTCCAGAATTTGCTAGAATCTTAACTTGCAGAAGAGAATATGATCTTTCAAAAAAAAAGTCTATAAAACTCAAGTTATTTCGCACCAAGATGTCAAAAGAAAGGGTTCCTAGCATTGACTTTTAAAATGTCTGAGTGTTGTGGGGTGCTGTGCTGGGGCCCTCCGAGGTTGATGATTTCAGGAGCATCCAGGCAAGCCTGGGGAGCCTGGGATCTCCAGAGATAGGATGAGATCTTTATGAAGCTCCCCTAAAATCCCTCAATGTGGTTCGGAAGTCCTACTGTGTATCTCACCTTCAGTTTCATTGCCACTCACTCCCACGGTTTGGGGCTCAGATCAAGAGGCCCATTCCCCTCCAAGGAATGCTCCCATCACTGTAAAAGATGACATCAGGGAATCTGCTTCTACTTATACCAATGGGTGTGGCCCTCCCCAAGTCCTCACCCAACAGCTCTTACCGGGCACTCTATCCCTAAGAGTCATTCCTGAAAACACCTCAGGTCCTGAGTACATCTAAGAGTCCTTTTCTCCTTGGGTTCCACCCTAGAGCAGATGTGTGCAGTCTGGAGAATGTCACCCAACCTGTCTGTCTCTACCTGACAGGTAAACTGGAAGAAGCATCAGTCCTACCCGCTGGGTTTCCTTGAGGAGAGCCTCTTTATTAGAGAGCGTTTTGACTTAAGTAGATCTTAAACTCCACAGACCCAGCTGTTTAGTGCCACAGACTCTGGGAGATACTGTGTTTTTCTGCTCCTTCTGTGGCTAGGCAGGTAATTGGATGCCCTGGTTCTAATGACACACAGTTTCCATTCTAGCCCTTGAAGTTCCTTCTCTGATAGTTTAGCAATGATCTCTTTGGCCACCTGCCTCTTTTGCCGCTGGAGTGAGTAGCTTGCCCTCCCCCTGTCCTGTCAGAGTCCCCATGAGTTAGGAAGAACTCTATTTCCTGCGTTGTGGTAACACAGCTTCTTTATTTAGAGCAGAACCACTGTGGACAGGGCTCCATCAAGATGGTCATGGTTTGCAAAAACGCCAGACTCTCAAGAGTTCTTAAATGTACAACATCCCGGACTGTACCTTAAGGAAGGGGAAAGGAGACAAACCGTGTTCTGGTCTTACAGGAATGGATTCCGTTAGAGACAAGACCTCACACTCACTCTGGTCTCCAGTTTAAATCATAACATCTGCAAGCGAGACCGCAGCATCCCTACGGTGTGTCAGTGAATCATTTACTAGCTGTGAAGAAACAAGTAAAATACTCCACTGCTTAATTTTGCTGTTTGTTGGTTTAATAAGTCAGGACAACCCCCCTGCTCTAATAAAAAAAAATTAAAGTTTGATCCCGTCCCAATTTTTTGGAACTGTCTGAAGGAATCGGAGTGACAAATGTGATGTGGAAGGCGGGATCTGAGCTGCAGGAATTCCGGGATCTCCGGGATTAGCCTTGTGACAGGCGCCTCGGCCGCAGCACAGCTTACGCTGGGCTCCGACTAGAAACACTGCGTGGGCGGAGCCTTTGCGCGGTGGCGGGCGTGGTCTGTGCGGAGGACATCGGGGCGTGGCCTCGGCGGGAGGGGCTAGTGGTAGCTAGGCGCTGGTGGCGGGAAGGAAATGCGCCGGCTGGAGTATGCTCCCTCCTCCTCGCTACCGGAACTGTAGCAGCAATCTTAGCTAACTCCTCCTGCTCCGGGAAGGGCTGCAAACTGCTCAGATTTTGTTTCTTTTTCCTTTCCTCCGCTCTTCCCGGAAGGTGAAAGGTCGAATCGTGGATAGACTCACCTCCAGGGCCCAAAACCCACAGCCACAGGGGCGCCATTGTTCTCCGGACTCATTTGTTAGAGCTCTTTTTGGGGTACGCCTGTGTGGATGGTTATCCCCAAAATGAAGAGTGAGTGCTTAGGCTCTGGGTTGTAGCTCACGGGTAGAGGGCACTTGCCTAGCGTGCACGAAGCCCTGCATTCAATCCCCAGCGCTGCATAAACCAGGCGTGTCTGTACATGCCTGTAATCCCAGTACTGGAGGAGGAGGCTGGAAGAGCAATAGTTCAAGATCACCCTCAACTACATTAAGCTAGATTAAGGCCAGCCTGGACTACCCGAGACACTGTCTGGAAAGAAACTGGTTTTAAACTGGTTCTGAGTTGGTATTTCGTGGGAAGGAGCCTCACACAAGGCCTCTTTTTCCACCTGCAACGCATAGAGCTTGACGGAATCCTGAAGCCCTGTTTTACCCTCCTAAGACTTCTGGATGACCCTCACCCATATTAAACACCCTGAAAACTTATTTTTATGTCTCTTATAGAGCCTTGGCTCTGAAGCGAGCTTCTCCGAGTTAGCGGGTGCCGCGACACAGCCTCTTGATGCAGTGTGAATCCAGTCCAAGGGAAGAGGAGATCCCGTCCCTCTTTTGGGGTTTGGATCCTGTGTTTCTAGCCTTTGCAAAACTCTACATCAAGGATATCCTGGAGATGAAGGAGTCCCACCAAATATCAGGTATGTGGCCCGCCACTGAGTGCCCTGTGCTGCCCCCTACCCGCACATTTTCCCCAAAGATACAGAAAGCTGGGGCCTTAAGGCTTCAGGAAGAGCCTTGCTGCATCAGGAAACTGTCTGAAAGCTTTTAAAATTATCAAGCCTCAACCCTGGAAGGAGTTCATTTCTGTGCAAATTAAAGAATAATCTAAATATTTTAAGTTAAATAAAGTTTGAGGGCTCAACCTTTGCACTGAGCCCCATTCCCTTCAAACCAGATCCCATTCCCTTCAAACCAGATGTAATCCCAACAGTTCGTAGTTGGAAGATCAGGGGTTCAAATCTAACTCGGGTTACATAAGACCTTTTCTCAATTAAAAAATATGCTAAGGGGGCTGGAGAGATGGCTCAGAGGTTAAGAGCCCTGGCTGCTCTTCCAGAGGTCCTGAGTTCGATTCCCAGCAGCCACATGGTGGCTCACAACCATCTGTAATGAGATCTGGCGCCCTCTTCTGGTGTGCAGGCATGCAGGCAGAACACTGTACAAATGAATTAAAAAAAAATTTTAAAAATGCTAAGGAATTTCATATTTTAAAATACTTAGATTCTTTTCTTTGGGCCTTCTCTTGAGTGGAAAGATCACTGGACTAAGCCGGCTTAGGCCTTGCTGTAGTACTTAGCTTTCTGGGGATGTGACCTACTTCCTGCAAAGATTGGGTGTCCGCTTCATAAAATGTGGGGGTTGGTTTTGATTTGAGTTAATCAGAGTCAAAATAATGGAAACTCCTGGGAGGAAGGACATCATCTGGCTTGTCCGTGCGCAGCAACAGCGTCTCCTGCAGCAGGTGCCCTGGAGAAACACCGGGAGGGGTAAAGCATTGTGTATGTAACTTTGTGCCTGTGTGTAGTATAAGTACATGTTCATGGGAGTCACCTGTGCACCTCCAGGTGTCTGCCTAGAGTTTTTGCTTTCTAAATTGTATTTTTAACGAATTTTATTTTAATTTGATGTGTATTGGTGTTTTGTCTATGTACCATGTGTGTGCAGTGCCCTCAGAGAGCAGAAGAGGGATTCCCTGGAACTGGAGTTAGAGGTAGTTATGAGTCACCATGTGGGTTCCAGGAATTGAACCTGCATCCTCTGGAAGAGCAGCCAGTGCTCTTAACCACTAAGCCATCTCTCCGACCCCCACCTTTTGGGGCAGGTGTTTGAGACAGGGTCTCTTCTCTGTAGCCCTGGCTGTCCTAGAACTCGCTCTGTAAACCAGGCTGGCCTTGAACTCAGAGATCGGATTGCTTCCGGGAGTGCTGGGATTAAAGGCATGCAGCACCACTGTCCAGCCACCTTTATTTTTTTAAGGCAAGGCCTTTTGCTGAACCTGGAACATATCAATTCAGGTAGGCTGGCTGGCCAATAAACTTGAAGGATCTTTTTTCGTCTCTGCTTGGTTCCCTACAGAGTTGCGGGTATATGCAGACAAGCCAGGTTCTGATGTGGGTGTGGGTGATCAGAATTTAAGCCACTGCGCTTGTGCAGCAGGCATTTTACTAACCAAACCATCTCCCTAGCCACAACTTTTAAAATTAGAGTACTGGTTGCGAGAGATATAATTATCATACCTAAGAGTTTAACAAATCTGTAGATTTTGAGTGGCTGTGGGTAGTCCTTCAGGAGTTTAATACTGTGCTGGGTGAGAAGTTTGGTTAAAGTCCTTGCTGTTTTGTGAAGCTTTCCAATCAAGGACCTTCTGAATGACAAGATTTGAGTCAAAAAAGAAAGTCAAGATCTCAAATAACCACAGTTTGAACGAGATGAGGTTTTATGCAGTTTGTTTTATGTATGAATGTATTTGGATGACCTTCTACAAGCCTTTTGTACAGAATTGTTTCCACCACACCTTTACTTCCTACTCATTGTTGAACTCGGTCTGCGGATTTTTCCCCTACTTGGAAGGCAGCCAGCCTCCTCCAGAGTTTTCCAGAATTATCTGGTGTTCTTTATAGCTCATCTCCTTGGGAAGAAATTAATTCACTCCAAATGCCAGCCTTGCTTAAAAGATGTGTGAGTGAGCAACCACATAGCAGGGACGGCCCAGGAGTTTAACTCTTGCCGTGGGCAAAGGATATGACGGTGTGTTAAAAGAAATCCAGTGAAAACCATTATCCTCTCTTGTGAGACTCTTTCAGATGTTCATTTGTAAGAGGAAATCTCATGGATGAAACAGACATCATAATTTTAGAATGGTTTTCCTTCGAGTATGCTATTGTGGCAAAATCTTTTTGTACACTCTGAAGATATGTCACTGATTGGTTTAATTAAAAACTCAACAGTCAATAGTTAGGCAGGATTTCCTGGCACAGAAGATGCTGGGAAGAAGAAGGGTGGAGTCGGGAGGAGACGCAGAGGAAGCATGACATGTAGGAGATGAGGTAACAAGCCATGAGCCATGTGGCAGCACGTAAATAAATAGAAATAGGTTAATTTAAGTTATAAGAGCTAGTTAGAAACAAGCCTAAGCTATTGGCCAAGCTTTCATAATTAACAATAAGTCTCCATGTCGTGATTTGGGAGCTGGCTGGCAGGACAGAGAAAGACTAGCTACACTATACTGTTGGTTTCCAAGAGAGTAAGAAACGCCACACTAGGTTTTTGGTTTGAGCTTAGCTTAGTTTACCATAAAGAGAATACTTGTGAGCCAGGTGTGACACACAGCTGTAATCCAGCACTCAGGAGGTGGAGGCATGAAGATCAAGTGTTGTTCGTTATTAAATACGATGGCTGCCCCTTTAAGCAATTGCTGTCCTAATCAGCAGTTGCACCTCTGCAGCTTCCAGCAGCAGTTTGGCTACAAGGGCCGAAGCTGGTGTTCTTTATAGCTCATCTCCTTGGGAAGAAATTAATTCACTCTAAATGCCAGCCTTGCTTAAAAGATGTGTGAGTGAGCAACCACATAGCAGGGGCGGCCCAGGAGTTTAACTCTTGCCGTGGGCAAAGGATATGACGGTGTGTTAAAAGAAATCCAGTGAAAACCATTATCCTCTCTTGTGAGAGGATATTTTGTTCCCTCAGGCACCGGCTCTCTTAAGGCTACTAAGGGAAACTTTATCTAGATCTCTATCCCGATGTAGAACTCAGGATTCAAAGGTTGAGGTGAAATTCTGCTTGCTTTGAGAGGCTGAATAGCAAGTAGCTCACCTCCTCTCCTTGCTCACGTCTCCCCAACTAACCAAGCAACCTTCTGCTCCCTCCGCCACCACTTAAGAACCCTAGCTACACGTGGTTCCTCCCTACCACTTCCTGTCGGCTAGCTGCTGACTCAGCCTCCTGACCACAGGTGAATTTTATCAAGCAAATGTAACACATCTTTCCATTGTTAACAAAAGCAGTAGTAAAAAAATGTAGCACACCTTAAAATAATATTCCACAACAATCAAGAGTTCAGGGCTGTCCATTCCAATTACATTCAAGGCTAGCCTGGTCTACCTGAGACATTGGCTCTGAAAACTGGACAAAAGGGTGTGATGATGTCTGCCTCTAATCCTAGCATTTGAGAGGTTGCAGAAGCAGGCAGATCAATGTGGGTTCAAGGCCAAAAAATAAAAATAAATAAACCAAATCTAAAACAAACAAGATGCCTGTGACTCCGTAAAATTTAGAAATATTTAAATGGCAAAGAATATCTGAAACAAAATAACAAAGGTTAACAACAGCAACAACACAAAACGGGAAATACAAGTGTTCTGTAGTAGTGAATTTGCTTGCCCTTTGCCCTTGGTTCTGGCCAATAGCCTCAGTCTTGGGAATTTCCTGAGTACAGGAGTATCTCTGTTACTGGAGGTGGGGGCCATACCTTTGCTTATGCCAATGAAGCATGGTATTCTGGGCTGCTAGTTTCAGAATAGACCTCTCTGTACCCAAGAGACCAACCTTATGAATTGTCAGTCTGATCCCCTGGAGGTTGAGGTCAGTCATTCATATGACCAGTGAGTCAATCATGCCCACACTGTGAAACCCATTAAAACCCTGATGTTTAGGCTTGCATGAGCTGCCCTGGTTAGGTAAGTGTACTGTGTCAGAGGGGATGTGTCGAGGAGTCTTTGAACTCTCCACACCTTCCTCTGTGCTTTATTTGTCTGACTCTGATTTGTGCCCTTTGCTATAAAGCTGTAATCAAGTATGACACCTTCCTGAGTTTTAGCTAATTATCAAAGATGAAGGAGTCGCAGAAACAGCTTTATAACAGACTGGACAGAGGATCCCAGCAAAGCTTGAGGCTAGGAGAGAGTGCCCTACGCTGGTGAAACTAACTGGGTACTATTTGGTTTGCCTTGTAAAATACCATCTCCAGAAATCTGAACTTTGGGTTTGGCTGGTAGAAATGTGAAGGTTGAGGTATTTAGGTGGGTGGTTTATTTGTTTGCTCATTTGTTTTATGCATTAAAAACTGCTTGTGTGTGGAGGATACCCTCCCTGTAAGACAGGATTTCACCACTATGTAGCCTTGTCTGGCCTGATACTCACCACGTTAACCGGCCTGGCTTTGAATGTTTTTGATTTTGTGTCTTAAGATGGGATCTCTTATAAAAGTACTTTTTTTGGGGGGGAGGGGTGTGTAGATTGAGACAGGGTTTCTCTGTGTAGTCCTAGCTGTCCTGGACTCTATAGAGCAAGTCAGCCTCAGAACTTAGAGATCCATCTGCCTCTGCCTCCCGAGTGCTGAGATCAAAGGTGTGCGCCACCACCAACTGGCTTATAAAAGTACTTTTTTTTTTTTTTTTTTTTTTTTTGGTTTTTCGAGACAGGGTTTCTCTGTGTAGCTTTGCGCCTTTCCTGGAACTCACTTGGTAGTCCAGGCTGGCCTCGAACTCACAGAGATCCGCCTGGCTCTGCCTCCCGAGTGCTGGGATTAAAGGCGTGCGCCACCACCGCCCGGCATAAAAGTACTTTTTAAAGACAGAAAACAGGTAATATCTTCCTGGGGTTGTGGATATTCATGGACAGTGGCTTAAAATCTGAATCAAATTTGCCAGTGACATTGGCACTCTAAGCCTTCACGGCTTGGCTTTCTCTTCTTGGGAGTCTGAACATACAGGAGCGCCTAGATGTAGTTAGTACAAACACCCCGGATCCCCTAGGCCTCTGTGGGCTACATGGAAAAGGCTGGAACAAGAGCTTGGGGTAAGCTGGTGCTTCTCTGTTTGATCATTTGCTTTGCTTAGCTTGTTGAACTTTGTTGTTGTTTTTCTTCTCAGTGGACAGAGCAGTCACCCAGTGCCCTTGAGCTGCAGACGAGAGCTCACTGCGGTAGAAGGAAGTGGTTCTCTCTTCCTTTCTTATGTCGTAAGCCATCTTGTAGAAGCCTGGCTTCTTAGTCTGTGGTTCGTGTCTTAATATGCTTTTGAGAAGTTTCTTCTGTGTTTTGAAGCAGTGTATGTCTTCCTCAGCCAGTTTCCTCAGAGTTCCCCCCGGCCCCGGCCCCCCAATTCAAACCATCTGTTCTTTGTTTCTGTAGTCCTCTGTTGTTCGGTAATGCTTCAAGAGTTCTTCTGCTGAGTCCTCGGACTAGAAGGACTTTTGTGCACCTCAAGTGAGTGCTCTTGAAAGCGAACCATTGTTAGTCCCCAAGGTAGACATTTATGAGGTCCATGTTTATCCTTTTTCAAGGAGGTATAGTATATTCTCAAATGAAAACCTATTCAGTTTTTTTATTGTTGCCAGATATAGTTTGTCACATGAGGATTGGTGACCTGGGGACACTGGCTTGTGCATTAGTCTAGTCTTCTTACTGCCTTTGGAAACATCCCCAGCTTAAAGGTCATAATATTTCAGCTGTTGACTGTAGATCCATGTCATGCCCAGTCAGCCCACATGGTTGTGAATGGGAGCAGCTCTCATTCAGGGGTGACACTGTAAAAGTGGGCTCCTTCCTCCATGGGGCCTTGCCATCAGCTTCTGTCCTCCTAGGTTGCCCTAAGGAGAGTCTCCCATCCATCAGCTCAACATGGGCCCCACAAAAGAGGGAAGGACCAGCTCTGGGCTGAGTTTGCAAGCGTCTTTCTCCAAGCCACACCCACTTTCCTTGTGTCCCCCTGGCAGATAGGCTCAGGAGCAGCTTGTCCAGTCAGCCCATCCCATTACCCTGTCTTCGAGGGAATCCAGAGAACCGCTCATCAGCAGTGGTCAGTGTGAAAGGTCAAGCCATTGTTTCCTAACAGATTGAAATCCAGAGGTTCTGACCAGCTTTGATGGGAGCAAAGAGTGACCATTGTGAACCCCTCATGGAGCTAAAGGGTAGGCCCCGCCCCTCAAAGCTGGAGTGTGGCCAGGCCCTGCACTACAGGGGGAAAAAAAGCCCAAGATCAGCCAGAATCCCACCAATCCCTGAGCTTGCCCCAAGATCAGGCCACAGAATAACTCCAATCCCAGGCTATCCTGGAAAGCTCCACCCCCCCACCCTAACCCCCCAAAAAACCCTATATAAAGCCTGCCTTCTGCTCACTTCTGCTCAGTTCTCTGCTGCTTTTCTTAGGAGCAGAGGCAGCCACCCTCCTGGGTTCTTCCCTCCCAATAAATCTCTTGTGTGAGGTTTGTTATACTCTGTGACTTTGTGGTATTACTTGGCTCCCGACTGCCAGGAAACCTTTCTCCTCTTAGCCATAACACTCACACAAATGCCTGAAGTAATCAGGGCTTCTTTGTTTACAATCCTTATATTTATTTACAAAGGAAAAGGCTATTTGAAAACAAGTATGTGGAGCTAGAGTGATGGCTTCGTGTTTAAGAGTGCTTGCTGCTCTTGCAGAGAATCCAGATTTGGTTCCCAGCACCCAGTCGGGTAACTGCCCACTGCCTCTAACTTCCGCTCCAAGGAATGTGACACCCTCTTCTGTGGGTACCCTCACCACATCCACATGCGTAAATAATATAATAATAATAGTAGTAGTAGTAGTAGTAGTATAAATTCTTTAAAAATAATGTATTACCTTCAAAATAGAATAAAAAGGAACATATATATATATATATATGTCATTTGCATCTGAAAGTAAAGAACGCAGGTGCTATGGGAGGTTGAAGGCAAAGAGACTACACATGTTACAGGTACATGCGGAGGTCCACACAAGGAGCTCTGAAGCAGCCAGGAAGCCCTGGGAATGAAAGCAGCAATTAGGAACTTGTGACTTCTAAAGCCCCCAGGTCTGTGTTTCTAGGTCTGGAAAAAAAAAAAAAAAATGCTGGGTGTCCGTGGCAGCGTTTCTTCTCAGGTTTCTTCACTGGCAGAAGCTCGCCTCCCAGCCTCTGTATAGCCTGGGTTCTGCAAACACAGTTTTTTTTTTTTTTTTTGGTTTTTCGAGACAGGGTCTCTCTGTGTAGCTTTGCGCCTTTCCTGGAACTCACTTGGTAGTCCAGGCTGGCCTCGAACTCACAGAGATCCGCCTGGCTCTGCCTCCCGAGTGCTGGGATTAAAGGCGTGCGCCACCACCGCCCGGCTGCAAACACAGTTTTAAGAAGTGCTTGAACCCTGTCTCGAAAAACCAAAAAAAAAAAAAAAAAAAAAAAGCCGGGCGGTGGTGGCGCACGCCTTTAATCCCAGCACTCGGGAGGCAGAGCCAGGCGGATCTCTGTGAGTTCGAGGCCAGCCTGGTCTCCAAAGTGAGTTCCAGGAAAGGCGCAAAGCTACACAGAGAAACCCTGTCTCAAAAAACCAAAAAAAAAAGAAGTGCTTGAGCTGTGATCAGCTGGCCCCAGTGGGCAGTGTTTGTATCTTCTCCTCACTGGTTCAGAGAAATGATGACTGGTTTCTTAGAAAAGTTCTGGTTAAAAAAAAACAAAAAACAAAAAACATGCAGATGGAGAGAGGGATCAGAGGTTAAGAGCACTTGCTCTTGCAGAGGACCCTGGTTTGATTCCCAGCACCCACGTGATGGCTTACAACCATCCAAACCCCAGTTCCAGGGGATCCAACATGCATGCATGTGGTGTACATACATGCATGCAGGCAAAACATTCATACATGTAAAGTAAAATAAATAAATCTAAAAAAAAATGTTAAAAGGCATAGCTTCCTTTATAGTCACTCAAATTCAGTGCTCTGTCATTGGGTGGCAGCTGTTCTCCGGCCCTGTGGGCTTTGATCACAGAAGCACAGTTCCTATTCACAGTGGAAAGTGAATTAACCAACCCTAGTGGGTGACCCTGCTTTTCTCTGCTGTGCTAGTTCAGGCTCTCAAGAGTCCAGTTTTCTGCTTCTGCTCCTTGAAAAGACCACTTAACTTCTTGGAGCCTGCCACATGCCTAGGACTGACTCTTATGACTGGAATTTGGGCACACAGCATGCCACTGACTTGTGACACCCAATGCCTAAAAGACATTTAATGCAAGAAAATGTAGTTGTGTTATATGAACTTCTTCTCGGTTTTTAGGTATATATCTTTACAACGGGCATCCCATAAGACGAGTGGATATCATGGGAACTGTCATTAGCGTGAGAGAAAGGGATGCTTTCTACAGCTATGGAGGTAAGAGCAATCACTTCAGAAACTGAGTTTACCTAGACAGTCCCCACTCCGCTGAAAGGTGAAGTTTTAGCGGCCCTCACGTTTGCAAGCAGCTAGGGCCTCACCAAACCGAGCGCTCTGTTGGAGTCCTGTGTCTGGATGAAGTAAATGAGGCCACAGGTAAAAATGATACTGGTGGTGCTGTGAGGTGCCCGCTGCTGGGGAGGGAGGAGGTGGAAGAATTGAAATGCTGCGGTGTTGGGTCACCAGTGGTCAGAGAAGACACCCAACACCCGTGACACAGCTGTGCAGGGCCAAGGACAGGACGTGCTTACCGAGACCCCCTTTGAAAAGAGGCCCAGTAAATGTAAAAACTGACCTGTTCAGGAGAGTGTAAAAATCATTTTTAAAGATTTATATCCAGAACAGTCAGAGAAGAAGGAAAAAAAAAAACCTTTTTGTTACTCAAGATGTAAATATCTGTTATCAGACTTGCCTGAACTAATACAGAGCCTTTGTCTTTTGGACACCAACGAATTGCTAGAGTGTGCTTTAGTATAGTAGGTCTTGATTGGTGGGGGTGGGGGGGGGCGTTAATTAAGTATCTATTTCTAAAAGATTTTATTTTTAATTATGTATATGTGTGTGTGTGCGTGGTTGTGTGCTTGTGAGTCAAGGTGCCTCAGGAGGCAAGAAGAGGGTGTCAGATTCCCCGGAGTTGGAGCTATAAGCAGCTGTGAGCCACCAGGTATGGGTGCTAGGAACTGGAACCCAACTCTGCTCCCCTGGAGAGCAGTAAGGGCTCCTAACTCCTGAGCCATCTCTTTAACCCCAATGCAAGCATCTTAATTTGTTACATTCTCACATTAGCTCAACAACTGAGATTCTCAGACCTAAGAGGCCATGATAGATGTTTGGAGGGAGCGGGATTTGAGGTGCAGACCTTTGCTCTGATTGATGTCATCACCTTTTGTGGCATTTCCTGCGGACTGTTCTCTTGATGTACATGGGGAATAAATAGTAGGAGTTGAATTTTGTGTCCAAGAACGTTTGATTGACACTATCAAGTGTCATCGCATCTCTCCAACATGTGCCTGTTTCCTTGAAGGCGAGTGTCCCTGTGCTTAGAAAAGAGCATGTTTGAGATGACATCTTTGAGATGACATCTCCCCCTCGGCAAGCTCCCCCCACCTCGTGTGTGTGTATTTTAAATGTTGCCAGGCATCCCTCTCCTGACTCTCTCTGCTTTATTTTACCAAAGATGTTGGTCCTGTTTTTCTCCAGGACAGCTCAGCAAGCGGGTCTAAGCTCCTATGGTATACCCAGCTGTGGGCAAGTGCATTGTCTTTAGTACAATACGGTGCTGCTCTCCAAGTCCCAGAGATGACATAATCATGTCTTTCAGCTACAAAGCACTTTTTACACTCATCATTTCATATTATTCTCCTCGTTTTGTTTAGAAATAGGAAAGACAAGTATTTCCATTTTGCGGCTATGAAAGCTATGACTCACTTGACTTTCTGAGGTTCTGTTGGGAGAGGTTTATGAGCCCATTTGATGGGTAACTGGCCCTGGTGTGCACTGTTGTCTGCATAGAGATCACATGGCTTTTCTCTCCTGTATCCCCTTCTCTGTGGGCTCCCCTGACCCCAGTCATCTGGAGTTGATGTTTTTCAGATCAAATATAAAAGACTGTTGGGGATTTCAGTTCTGGCCTGAGAATTGGGTCTGATTTAGGCTTGTGACATAAAGGGACTTCACTTAGCTCACTTCCCCACCATGGAAACATATAAGGAGATATGTTTGGCTCTTCCCTAAGAAGCCTTTCCCTCCAAGTTGGTGTCGTGAGAGCATGACATGTCTGTGGGCTGCAGGAAAACAGCAATGTGGAAGTAATTAAGAGCAGAAAGGTTTTTGCACTCAGTTCTTGTGTGGCCAGTTGAAGCAGAGAGTCGCTTTTCTCCCTGCTGTCTACAGGCCCAGCACGGCTTTCCTCTTGTCCCTCTGACTCACGGCAGGCCTGTCCTGTGGTGTTTCTGGCCACACTGACTCATCCTGGTATCATACTGAGGAAGGATGTGGTGTGGCTTTGTAATGATTCTCTCCTCTTCTAGGGCACTCAGCAGCAGGCCTCAGGAACCATGCTGCATGAGAAGTGACAGGGCCAGAGAAGTCGGTTCGGTGGCAGTGCCCGCAGTACACAGAGTCCTGGCAGCAACTGGAGCTCTGAGGTGGCTCTCAAGAGGCTCAGGTTAGACCAGGATAGCCTCACATCCCCTAGAACAGATGTTCACTCATTTGCTATTAGTCTTGCTTCCAATATAAACAAACACTTCCAGCCAGCTGCAGTGGCTCCTGCTGGTCATCCTGGCACTCATGCAGCTGAGGCAAAGGATTACTGCAAGCTGGAGGCCAGCCAGGGCTGCACAGTGAGTCCAAGCCTGCTACAGAGTAAGCCCCTGTCTCTTTCTGTTTTTAAAATTTATCTGACAGTTAATGTTCACATTGATTGTAGGTGTCTTCCCTCACACTTCAAAAGATTCTGCTACTAGCATTTAATGTCTTAAAATCATTTCTATTGAAATATACTATTTAGTTTTTATATATGTAAGATTTATAAGGTATAGGGATTTGTGTTTTACTGTAAGGCATGCGTATCTTTCAACAGTGAGGACCTAGGTCTTCATTATATCCCATTAATCTCATATACTATGTTGTTACAATTTATTTAACCAGCTACACACTTACAAATGTTGTGTATATTTATGTTCCTCTTTTCAACGTTATAAGCACTACTTTAGTGAGCAATGTTATGCAAGATGTAGATATCTGTGCACTTGTTATGTCTTTCTCTGCCGAATAATTTACTAGCAGTAATTGCCAAGTCAAAGGGACTGTGCACGTAAAATCTGATGCATGCTTCCAATCTTGCTGTTTAGAAATGAGCTGCTGACTTATACCCTCACTCCTAGCCAATGAGGGTATCAATATTTCATTATTTGTTTTCGTATTGGGGATTGAACCCAGGGCCTCATGCATGCTAGGCAAGTACTATACAACTGAGCCATATCCTCACCCTGGTTATCAGTGTTTTTAACTGTCAAGCTAGCAGTTGAGGAATTACTTAAACTTGATTTTCCATGGCAGTTAGTGGACTTCTTAGCATGCTGGCATTTATTTACGTGCCACTTATACATTTTCCATGCATTGCACATCCCTTTTCTTTGGTGCTGCTTCTCTGTGGTTTTGGTGTTTTTCTCACTAGTTCGTAGTAACTCTTTATATATTAAAGCAGTAACATGTATTGGAAAAGTTGTTGTCTGCTATTGGTTTTAGGTCAGCAAATGTATCAAGCTTTGTTTAATGAGTTACAGTTTTCAGATTCTGCTTTAGAAAGTCTTTTTCCTCCAATTCTAAATCCAGAGCTAAAAGATGCTCACCATATCCCTGTCTCACGTCGTTCACCTATTTTATGTTAAAAAATGAACTTATTTCACTATAAAGGACAGTTTAATCTTCTGTCTACAGAGATTTAAGCCAACAGTAAAACATTTCCCCTTATATTCTGTATTGCATGGGCCTTTACAACAGTCTACTTGTTTTGCTTTGTTTTAATTATGAGGTCCACTACTCTGTGCTTAGCAACCTATGTTTGGAGTCAGAATTCAGGCAGAGAAGAAGATCCTGTCTTCCCTCAGCAAAGATCTCCAAGTTCCTCTCCAGTCACAAGTCCTAGTCTCATGGGAACTGTTTGATTTTTTTTTTTTTTCCTTTTGGCACTATAAATAAAATAAGCCAGACCAGTTCTATTTTTTATGGCCAGGGTATAGTTCTTTTCTGTTGTAAAACTAAAGCTGGGTTCTGTGACGAGCTGTGATTGACCTGCAGAGGGGAGGACTGGGCAGAATCCTTTCCACAGAGAAGCCCCTGAGCCAGGTGATGCGGACCACTTTGCTTGGGCAATGAGCAAGCTAGTGAAAGTGGAGGTGGCGGAAGGCTGAGCCCAGAGTGCCAGTTCCTCTGACCACAGAGCACCAGTCCTTTCTTGTTAGAGAGAGAGAAGAGAGGCAGGTTATGGATGTGGGCACTCACTGAGGTTCTTTCGCACATAACTTCCTGAGGATGCACTGTTACCAGACCAGATAAGACTCATCACTACCATTGAGGTAGGGTGAGGGAAATGTTGAAAGTGTCCATTGGCCTCATGTGTTACATGCTTACAGGTAAGCAGTTCATACTGGTGTGTAGTGAAAGGTTGCTTCTGAAGACAGGGAGAGTTGTTTTTGTTTTGTTTTGTTTTTTCTTTTTATTAACTAAATGTTTTCATTTATTTTACATCCCAACAGCACTTTCCCCTCCCTCGTCTCATTCCTCACCCCTCCCCACCCCTCACCCTCCACTCCCCGCCCCCCCCACTTCCCACTCCTGCCTCCCCTCTGCCCCGCCCCCATCCACTCAGAGGGAGAGTTTTTGAAGGGAGTTGCTCCACTAGGCTGTTGAAACTGCCCTCTTTCAGTCTGACTGAGTGTTGGTCAGCGTGCCCAAGTCTCTCACCTACCCATTGATGCTTCTCTTTCAGTGGATGATGCCACTGGGGTTGTCAACTGCACCTGCTGGAAAAAGGGGAGCAATCCTGAGTCTTCGCCAGGTAATTCTATTTGCCACATTCCTTTGATTTTCTGATAAACAAAGGATTTTGCTCAAGGTAGCTCATCAAACAACTGTCAGAGTGTTTTCACACTAAGCTGATGCTGGGTTGCTTTGGTGGCCCCGACACATCGTCTCCAGAGCTTTGGCTGGTGGTTGCTTTGGTGGCCCTGACACACTGTCCCCAGAGCTTTGGCTGGTGGTTGCTTTGGTGGCCCTAACACACTGCACCCAAAGCTCTGCTGCTCTAGAACCTGATGTCATAGTAGGGAAGGGCTTCTCTCCTACCTGTTTGCTCATAACTTTCTCCTAAGCATAGAAAATGAGAAAGGATTCCTGGAAATTTCTACACTACAAATTTTACCTCGATTATTATTTTGCAAGTCAAGATATTGTAGCCTAATGGACCATCAGGTCAGAATCCTTGACCAAAGATTTTGAAGATTGTTCCTCCGACAAGGTTTCCACTAATGTCTCTGCTGTCATGATGCAGATTTTCTAAAAACTATCATGTTCAAACAAGCAAGAATCCAAAGCTTGTGAGGGTAGGATTCCTTTGGAAGTTAGCCATTAAGTAACATAAATCTTAAAATTATACTTTGAACACACTGACTAACTGAAGCATTTGGAATTACATGAATGTATTTCAATGGTGCTTTGTGTGTGTGTGTGTGTGTGTGTGTGTGTGCGCGCGCGCACACGTGGTTGTTTTGGTCTGTGTGTATTTGTGTTGCTAGGGATAAAATCTAGGGCCATAAACATGCTGGGCAAGTGTTCTACCTTGGATTTACAGCCCCCAGCCCTCTTGGGTAATTTTTTAAGGTTTGTTTAATTTATTTTATGTGTATGGGTGTTTTACCTGTATGTATATCTGTATAGCACACACATGCAGTGCCTACAGAGGTCAGAAGAGTTTGTTGGGTCCTCTGGAACTAAAGTTACAAAGGATTGTAAGCTACCGTGTTGGTTCTTGGAACCCAACCAGGGTCCTCTGCAAGAGCAGAAAGTGCTCTTAACCACTGAGACATGTGTCCAGCCCCTTAAGTAACTCTTAAAGTTCTCTTGCAGAGAACTCATGTTCTGTTCCCAGCACCCATGTGGTGACTCTCGGCCATCCATAACTCCAGTTCCAGGGTATCCAAAGCCCTCATCTGATTTCCCCAGGCACCAGGTGTGTGTGTGGTACATACAAATGCACTCAGGCAAAACATTAGTACACACAACCCATATTTTAAAAAAAAATTTGTTTTCAAGACAAGGTTTCTCTATGTAGCCCTAGCTGTCCTGGAACTCCCTATATAGACCATGCTGCCTTGAACCTGGAGATCCTCCTGCCTTTGCCTCTTAAGTGCTGAGATTAAAGGTGTTCCCAACCACTGCCCGGCATAAAATTAATTTTTAAAAAATTAAATTCAGTTCATAATAACTGAAAGGGTGTTATGCAATGTTAGCGATCATTTTAGGCTCTGAGAAGTCACAGATTCTGGGACTCTCTTTTGTTCTGTTTGTAACATACAGGAAATAATGGCATCCATGTGGGCTTGTCAGGTTTCTCGCTCCAGTATCTAACCTCCTGTTCTGTTGGTCTGTGATGTATGTTGCGCAGGAATGTCTCGTGCTTATGAGATTTCCTCTTTGTTTTTGCCGTCATGTGTCAGACTCCCAGCTTGCCTCTGGCTGTACTGACCAATGGCATGCTCATTTGTTTAGTTTCCCAATGTACTTAGATTTAGAAATTAGCTAGTTTTGTGTAACTTTAGCATTCCTACTCCTAATTGAGAACCTCTCTAAGGTCATGGCTCTGCTTTGCTTGGAGGCATTAGAGATAGACTTAAGGCAAGAAATAAACCTGTACGACAACCAGATATTGGGATTCTTGTACAGTTGATTACTAATCTTAGTCTGTGGTTATGTAACGACTTTTCCAATTGCTTTGACAAAATACCTTACAAAAGGAACTTGGGTGTGGGGCATGGGTCCCCTGTGTAGCCCAGGCTGGCCTGAACTCACTGTATAGACTGGCTTTGAACTCATAGAGATCCACTTACCTCTGCCTTCTGATTGCTAGGATTAAATGCAAGTGCCACCATGCATAGTCAAAAGGAACTTAAGGGCTGTTAGGTTTCAGTTCACAGTTTGGCAGGGATGGCATGGAGGCAGGTGAGTGATGTACCTGGTCACACTACATCCGCAGGAAGCAGAGGAAGATGGATGCTTCTGTCCACTCACTTTCTCCTTTTTGTTCATCTTCAGTTGGGGATCCCAGCCTGGGGGGTGATAGAGCTCACATTCAGGATGGATTCCTTCTTTGGTTACATCTTTCTGGAGACATCCTTGTAGATACACTCAGAGTGTGTTTCTATGGGGATTCTAAAGCCAGTCCAGTTGACAATTGTTGTAGAATATTATTTCAAGGTGTGTTATTTTTGTTTATGCTCTGGAATATTTGTTTAATGATGCAAAGATGTGTTTTATTAAATAAAATTCAGGGACTGGAGAGATGGCTCAGTGGTTAAGAGCACTAGCTGCTCTTCCAGAGGTCCTGAGTTCAATTCCCAGCACCCATATGGCAGCTCACAACTGTCTGTAACTCCAGTTCCAGGGGATCTGACACCTTCACACTAATGCACATAAAATAAAAGTTAAATAGATTATTTTTTTAAAAAATTCACCTGCAGTTAGGAGGCTGAGTCAGCAACTAGCTGACAGGGAGTGATAGGAAGGAGCCAGGTAAGAAAGGGTTTAATAGCTGGGCAGTGGTGGCGCACGCCTTTAATCCCAGCACTCGGGAGGCAGAGGCAGGAGGATCTCTGTGAGTTCGAGGCCAGCCTGGTCTACAAAGTGAGTTCCAGGAAAGGCGCAAAACTACAGAGAAACCCTGTCTCGAAAAACCAACAAAAAAAAAAAAAAAAAAAAAAAAAAGAAAGGGTTTAATAAGGAGGGGTGAGTAGACACATGAGGACTTTTTGGAGGATGAGAGCAAGGAGAGGTGGTGAGCTACTTGTTATTCAGCCTCTCTGAAGAGTAGAATTCCACCTCAACCTTTGAATCTTGAGTTCTTTAGCGGGAGAGAGGTTGAGTTAAGTTCTCTTCATAGCTTTGCGAGAGTTGGAGCCGGAGGGAACAGATTCCCTCCAGCTACAGCCCTTGCAGTCTAACCACTGCTGATAGCAGTGGAGTTGCAGTTGCTGATTCAGACAGCTGTGGTTTAAAAGGCAGCCACCATTTTAAAAAAGACAACAATTGGCGCCCAGCGTGGGGTGCCAGAATATTTTGGAGGTTTTTGCTCTTTTCTTGGGGGACCCACCACCGAGCTCTCAAATCACTCATGGAGGCTTATTCTTCCTTTTGAATGCCCGGCCTTAGCTTGGCTTCCTTCTTGCCAGCTTTCCTTAACTTAAATTATCCCCATCTACCTTTTGCCTCTGGACTTTTCTTGTTCTCTTATTTCTGTAAGCCTTATTCTTACTCCATGGCTTTCTGGTTGTGTAGCTGGGTAGCTGGCCCCTGACCACCTCCTCCTCTGGCTGCTAGATCTTAGCTCTCTCCTCCCAGTTTACTCCTATATACATTCTCTGCTCGCCAGCTCCACCTATCAAGGCTATTGGCCAGTTCTTTATTAAACCATGAGGTGTTTTACACAGGCACAGTAACACAGCTTCACAGAGTTAAACAAATGCAACATAAACAAAACCTTAAAATATTCTGCTACAGACAATGAAGATTAACCATTACAGTGCTGTTACACAGAATGCTCAGGCAGGTAATTTATTACAATTTGTTTCTCAGTCCTGGAGGTTGGAAATCCAAGGTAAAGCATGGAAGGGTCTCATGCCTGGTAGAGGCCAGTCTCCACCTCCAAGATGGCTCCTTGAATGTTGCCCCCTCTGGAATGTTCCCCCCCATGGCAAAATAGCAAAAAGAAAGAAGTCCCTTGAAGAGCTTGCAGTACCATTGACTCGTCCACACTGTCCTTGTCCTCTAAATACCTCCCGTTCAGTCCCACCTCCTAATACTTTTGTATTGTTGTTATGGTCTGAATGAATGTCTCTCAAAGGTCCCTGTAAATGCTTAGTCCCCAGGGTTGGCAGAAATGGAAAATATTGTAGACATATAAGAGATAGGAACTAATGCGAGGTCATAGGTCACTAGGGACATGCCATCGAAGGGGATTATGATACCCTGCCTTAGTCTCTTCTTGCTTCCTGGCTCAGTATGTGACTTTCACTCTGGCACACACTCTGCTATGACATGCTACTCTCATCACACACTGTAGAGATGGCCTGACCTTGGACTGGAACACCTAGAACTATGAGCCAAAACCCAGCTCTTTATTCCATAAGTAGTCTGAATCAGTGTTTCATTACCGTGATGGAATGCTGCTAGTACAGTTTGGGATATAGTTTCCAACACATGTGACTTGAAGGGTAGAAAATCATTCAAACCACAGAAGCATTATAAGTCATTTGCAGATTTATAGCATTACTCACAATCTTTAATCAGAAGGTGCAGTTTGTCTAGCCATACCTGAATTAAATGGAGGGTGAGCAACCTTTTTCTATTAAGGGACAGAGGGTAAATATTTTCTGTAGAAATGATCTGCCTCACCTCCTCGACACTGCCATTTTAGCACAAAGTGGCCATGGATGATACATGGGACAATCAGGCATGGCTCTGTCCCAATGAAACTCTAAACAGGCTATAGATTGATTTGGTCTGTGGTTTAGATACTGTTTTTGTTTTCTAAATTAACTTTTTGGGGGGATAGGGTCTCACTATATAGCTCTGGCTGACCTCAAACTCACACTGGACCCTCTGGCTCCCCATTGCTGGGATCGAAGGTGTGTGCCACCACATCCAGATTAATTCACTCATTTTAAAGAAGTGGCATGATCAGGAACACTATGTAATTCCTGTACTTAGTAACAGTGATGTTTTAGATCAGCAGAATGGCTGTTCCTGAACACACCGAGAGGAAGATGTCTAAAGTTGGAGAGTTGTTGAACCACTGAGCAATTACAGGGTGTCTTCATTTAGAAGCAAGTATAAAGAGAATGGCAAGCGTATCAGGAGGAAGCCTAGAAAGGTTCTCGTCATGTTACACATGAAGAGGTATTTTTAAATTGCTCCCAACTCACTCATTCTCTCCTTTTAATGTAATTGCCCCAAGTTTAAAAGCTTTCCATTGGAAGGTGGCCAAAAAAGACAATTTTTTAAAAACAAAATTTAATTTGAGTCAAAATTATGTTCCAGTCAGTTAAATAAAGAATATAATGTGAGCTTCTGTGAATGTTACATTGAATGTACCATTTGTACTTAGCTTATGGGCAAAGTTAAGAAAGCTTGGTCCTCACTATTAGAATGTTATCTTCAGGATGGAATAGATTACTAAAATGAAGTTCTGTCAGGCTCCAGCCGTCTCATTACATTCATTAAATTACACGCTAGAGTCTTCTTTCATCAATTTGGCTCACTCTTTAAATGAAGCCTGGGTCTCTCTTCTCAGATCTGCTGTTGGCCTGATAATGTCAGTGGTGCTGCCAGGGCTTTTTATTATCCCTGTGATGTCTGCATAGTGGCAGTGAAGTTTATAAATACCTTTAAATGTCAGATTGAGGAGAAGAGGGCCTGGAGATAGGAACATGGGGAGCAGCCTTTAAAGAGGCGATTCTTGTGTATCTTCAATGGAAACCCAGTGAGCTAAGCAGCCATAATACTTGGCATCTAGTTTCCGAGGTGTCAGCTGCCGCATGCGCAGTTCTTGGTGCTCTCTGTGTTATGGGCCTTGGTCCAGCACGTGTACTCTGGTGCTGCTTGCTACATGTTACAAAACCGTGACTGTCGAAACTGTGGTTGGTCAGAAAGCAGAAAATTTGTTCAAAAGACCAAAGAGAGATCACTCCTCCTATGGAAGGGCAAACTAGAGCACAGGAAATAAATCAGCATTTAACAAATATCTTTTCAGGTAGAGAATAATATCTGGAAAGAGCTGGCCATGATTCCTGTCCTTCAGCTCACATAAAGGAACCTGAAGACAACATGTTGTGTAGCTATCCCAGTGAATATGCGATGTTCTAGCAAGTCCCCAGCTGCTGGATCACTGAAAACAGTCAGGAGCAACAAGAGAGTGGATTCAAAAATCAGGATTCTTTTTAGTACTTATGCAACAGAATGGAATGAAATAAATGTTAAAATACAGCAGTGGGCAGTGTATGTGATGAACATGATGTACACGGTTTGCTGCAAGTTTATGAAACCAGTGGAGCAGCTTCATCTGCAACAAGACATACACGGAGTCTGTCGTCTTGTATAAACACAGCTCAGTGTCTGGGACAAACCAGTAACCCCAACGTTTGGGAGGTAGAGGCAGGAGGATCAGGAGTTCAAACTCACCCTTGCTGTGTATCAAGTTCTGGACTAGACTAGGCTACATTAGATCCTAATAAACAAAACATCAAATATCATACATGGTTTCTTTTGCTGTTTGTTTTAATTTACTTAGTGGTTTTGTTTTTAGACAGGGTCTCTTGTAACCTACCTAGTCTTGAATTCACAGCATAGCTGAGACTGGCCTTGAACTCCTGATCCTCCACCTCCCCAGTGCTGGAGTCACACCAGACTCCACCACACCCAGTTCCTTTTGCCAAAGAAAACTTGACAGATGGGGCTTTGTTTCATTTTTGTCCAGGTTGCTATGACAGGTTAGTGAGGATGCTGTGAGCACACATGCTTTGCTAATGTCGTGTGTGAATGCAGAGTGAGGTTTTTCTGTCAAACATTGTAACAAGTGACAGGTTGTAAACTCAGTGAAAGTCCCCAACGAAAAAAAATTGTCTAGAGCACTCAGTCATTGATTGTCACAAATAGCACATGGTTGTCACTTCCTCTGTCCATGGTATGCAAAGTTGAGTCATGCATGACAGCCATGTGTATGCATGTGAGCGTGCATGCATGTATGTGTGTGTGTGTGTGTGTGTGTGTGTGTGTGTGTGTGTGTGCAATAGACTGCCCTTACCTTTGTCTCCTTGATTCATTCAGTTGAGGGGAGAGGGACTTGAGAGTGGAGAAGCAGCATGCACAAGGAGGTGTCACAAGAGCTAAGGGCCCAGTTGATGTGCAAGTCAGGCGTCTGTGACTGCAGGTCTCCATGCTGAACCTGCCCTAGGCAGGGAGTAAAAATCAAAATGGAGTCTTCAAAAGGGAAGAAGTATGCAGCTGTGTAACTGCCATATTAACATGACAGGATATTATATTGTGTGGAAGACTGAGTTATTCTCAGCACACCGAAGCCTAAAGCAGGGGTAGAGGGTTCAGGGCCATCTGGGGTTACATAGCAAGACCACATTTCAAAAACCAAAGCAATAACAAAATGCTGAGTTGTGTAGCTTCAGATATATTGGAATTACAATAGGCAGACTAGAGCATTGGGTCTTTAATTAGCCACTCTGATTCCAGAAAATGGCCATATCCTATGAGGCAGGCAGCAGAGAGCATAGTATAACCACAGAGTCTCCGCAGTCAGGCACTGCAGAACAGCCTGCAACCTTGTTAACCAGCTGTTTTATTTTGGACAAGTTGTTTGACTTCTCAGTGACACAAGTTTCTCATCTCTGAGATGGAGTTAGCAGAAGGGAGCAGTTGTGAGGCTTTGATGTGCTGGTACATTAGAACACCTGTACACCACACGGTCAGGGTGTGCTGGTACATTAGAAAGTCCGTAGAAGAACACCTGTACACCACACGGTCAGGGTGTGCTGGTATATTATAAAGTCCATAGAAGAACACCTGTACACCACACGGTCAGGGTGTGCTGGTATATTATAAAGTCCGTAGAACACCTGTACACCACACGGTCAGGGTGTGCTGGTATATTAGAAAGTCCGTAGAACACCTGTACACCACACAGTCAGTGTGTGCTGGTATATTAGAAAGTCCATAGAAGAACACCTGTACACCACACGGTCAGGGTGTGCTGGTACATTAGAAAGTCCGTAGAAGAACACCTGTACACCACACGGTCAGGGTGTGCTGGTATATTAGAAAGTCCGTAGAAGAACACCTGTACACCACACGGTCACGGTGTGCTGGTATATTATAAAGTCCGTAGAAGAACACCTGTACACCACACGGTCAGTGTGTGCTGGTATATTAGAAAGTCCGTAGAAGAACACCTGTACACCACACGGTCACGGTGTGCTGGTACATTATAAAGTCCATAGAAGAACACCTGTACACCACACAGTCAGGGTGTGCTGGTATATTATGAAGTCCATAGAAGAACACCTGTACACCACACGGTCAGGGTGTGCTGGTACATTATAAAGTCCATAGAAGAACACCTGTACACCACACGGTCAGGGTGTGCTGGTACATTAGAAAGTCCGTAGAAGAACACCTGTACACCACACGGTCAGGGTGTGCTGGTACATTAGAAAGTCCATAGAAGAACACCTGTACACCACATGGTCAGGGTATGCTGGTACATTAGAAAGTCCGTAGAAGAACACCTGTACACCACACGGTCAGGGTGTGCTGGTATATTATAAAGTCCATAGAAGAACACCTGTACACCACACGGTCACGGTGTGCTGGTATATTAGAAAGTCCATAGAAGAACACCTGTACACCACACGGTCAGGGTGTGCTGGTACATTAGAAAGTCCGTAGAAGAACACCTGTACACCACACGGTCAGGGTGTGCTGGTATATTAGAAAGTCCGTAGAAGAACACCTGTACACCACACGGTCACGGTGTGCTGGTATATTATAAAGTCCGTAGAAGAACACCTGTACACCACACGGTCAGTGTGTGCTGGTATATTAGAAAGTCCGTAGAAGAACACCTGTACACCACACGGTCACGGTGTGCTGGTACATTATAAAGTCCATAGAAGAACACCTGTACACCACACAGTCAGGGTGTGCTGGTATATTATGAAGTCCATAGAAGAACACCTGTACACCACACGGTCAGGGTGTGCTGGTACATTATAAAGTCCATAGAAGAACACCTGTACACCACACGGTCAGGGTGTGCTGGTACATTAGAAAGTCCGTAGAAGAACACCTGTACACCACACGGTCAGGGTGTGCTGGTACATTAGAAAGTCCATAGAAGAACACCTGTACACCACATGGTCAGGGTATGCTGGTACATTAGAAAGTCCGTAGAAGAACACCTGTACACCACACGGTCAGGGTGTGCTGGTATATTATAAAGTCCATAGAAGAACACCTGTACACCACACGGTCACGGTGTGCTGGTATATTAGAAAGTCCGTAGAAGAACACCTGTACACCACACGGTCAGGGTGTGCTGGTATATTATAAAGTCCGTAGAAGAACACCTGTACACCACACGGTCAGGGTTCTTCTTACTTAACTTGGTTCTTATTTGATACGATTTAGAAGTAAGTTAGTGGCAGAGATTATTTCGGGTTGAATGTACGTTAGCTTCTCATCACCGTGAGGTAAAGGTTAAAGATGGAAGGAGAGAGCCCGCACAATGTGAGGGAGAACGCCGGTAGATGGGACAAGGTCTCTGCACCAGTACTAGTACTGCAAAACAATATAAAGTCGACGAATAAGAGGGCTGTGCAGGGCTATGGCCCCCAACTGCTCCTGAGCACGTGGTGCTCAGGGCTGCACAGAGCCCTCTGCACTGGTGGTGCGGGGTGGAAGACACAGTGCAGCCCCCCTGGAACCTGCCCACTTGGCCTCACTCCAGAGTCCTCTCCCTGTGTTCTGCTCTCGGATACTTAGAGCTTATGCTTCTGGGTAGAGGATTTGAAAAGATATGGAGATGTCATGAGATAGAGCACTTCATCAGGAGAACAATGTGCTGGTTACTGTGTCCCCAGCATGGAGGGACACTTGCTTACACCTCTCTTTTCTCCTGGCCCCGACAGACCCAGTTGCTCCAAGCACTGCAAGAGAGCTGAGCGTGACCTCACAGCTTAAGAAATTGCAGGAGACCATTGAGCAGAAAACCAAGATAGAAATTGGGGATGTTATCCGCGTCAGAGGCTACGTGCACATGTTCAGAGAAGAGCGAGAAATCCGTGCCTCCATGTATTGTAAGCACGGGGAGTTTCTGCCAGACGAGCTGCTCTTCTGGGTGTGTGCTCTGTAAACGCTTGTTTAGCTCCAAGTCAGACTTGCAGAAGTTCACATACGATTTCATTCTAATGGGGAAATTATGCCTAGCATGCTGTTTTTAGGAAAACAGCATTTTAAAATTGTATTTTGAAGAATGTTAATTAGAAGTAGATTGGGAAAGAATGAATTATTGACTCTATATAGTTGGTGAGTTTATTTGGACAGCACCACCGTTTCTGAAGTACTTTGAAATTCTAAATGTCAGTCCATTAGGGCAGAGCGTTCCAGTTCTTCAAAAGGATGGAAACGTCTTGAGCACCATTAAGCCCATTAACTTTAATGAAAATAGCTAATTAGAAATAGTCCCGGATCACCCTTTTGCACTGTGCTGGCTGGTCTTCAGTGGAAAATCTCAAAAGCAGCCAGGCATGGGGGATGCATATATTCAATCCAGCACCCAGGAGACAGAGGCAAGCAGATCCCCATGCATTTGAGGCCAGCCTGGTCTACATAATGAATTACAGGTTAGCCAGGGCTACATAGGGAGGCCCTGTCTTAAATAAATACATAGATCTCAAGGGCTGGCCCTGTAGGACATCAGCATAGCACAGAAATTGATGATAACAGCCCTGCCCCACCCCAGATGTGCCTGTCCCACATGAGGATTGCCTTCTCTCTCAAGGGATGGCTGGGAGCTGTTCTGTGACTCTGGACTACTGTCCTGTCAGTGATTTGGATGTGGAAAGAAGTACTCTCAGTGTCTTCTGTGGCATCTTTTCCTGGGGTGTTAGATAAGGTGGACGATCCAGTGTGGAACATTCAAATTGCAAGGATGCTTGAGCTGCCTGTGCTCTACAAGAGAGTGTATGACCAGCCGTTCCGCAACCCAGCCCTGAAGGACGAAGAGGCACCGAGGTAAGTTCCCCGTCACTGCTTCAGAACACAAGGGCAGCAGCGAGTCGAGCAGTAGGAGCCGGATGCTGGTGACAGGATAAATCCACAAATACTCGACTGAGGACTGTGGGGCTCCAGTCCTCTCTGCCTCAGTTCCTCTCCTGTAAAGTGAAGGTGACTGTAGCATAGACGTTCTAGGGTTGTGAAGGAAACACAAGTATATTATAATTAGAGTTTCTAAAGGAGGGGAGCACAGATGAATACTTGCATGGTAGCTGAAACTTTTTCAAATTAGAGGAAATACTCTAACTCACAGATCAGGAAACATGGCAAACCCTGAGGTGAGAACCATGGATAAAACTGCACCAAGGCCTTTCACAGTCAAAATACTGTGCCACGGGTTACCACGACCCTGATCCTGCAGCTCCCACCATAAAACAACAACAAAAACAACTGGGTTGTTCTCAACCAGGACAGATTTTATTCCTATATAGTGGAATAAACAAACAGAGCCTAGGAGGAATATGAATATATAGGCATTGGCTAAAATATGAAATGAGATAAAGAAAATCACTTACCAGTGCCTTCCTGGTGGCTTCTAGCTGGGAGGGCAAAGTGAGGAGGTGCCTTAGTCAGGGTTACTATTGCTGTGTTCAAACACCATGACCAAAGTAACTTGGGGAGGAAAGGGTTTATTTGGCTTACACTTCCACATCACTGTTCATCATTGGAGGAAGTCAGGACAGGAACTCAAACAGGGCAGGAACCTGGAGGCAGGAGCTGATGCAGAGGCCACGGAGGGGTGCTGCTGCTTACAGGCTTGCTTCCCATGGCTTCGTCAGTCTCCTTCCTTGTAGAATGCAGAACCACCAGCCCAGGAGTGGCCACACCCACAAGGACTGAGCCCTCCCCCATCAATCACTAGTTAAGAACATGCTCTACAGGCTTGTCTGCAGCCCAGTCTTAGGGAGGCCTTTTCTCTGCTGGGGTGTTCCCTCTTCTCAAATGACTACAGCTTGTGTCGAGCTGACAGAAAACAAGCCATCACAGGAAGGATACTTTTCATTGGGTTGGGGGCAGAGAAGCCAGAATGGGTAAAGGTGCATGTTCCCCAAGTGTGATGACCTGAGCTCAGATCGCAGCCCTATATTAAAATCTGGGCAGGCTGGTGAGCAAACCTGTAACCCCAGCAGTGTAGGGGTGGAGACAGGAAGGTCACTGGGACTTGCTGTCCATTTCTTTACCTCTAAATTCAATGGGAGATCTGGTCTCATGGGAATAAGGGAGAGAGCAATAAAGCAGGGCACCTGGTGTTTTCCTCTGGCCTCTGCGTGCACACAGTGCACACACATACACACACACACATGCGCACACACATACACATGCACGCATGTGTGCACACGCGTGCGTGCGTGCACACACACACACATCCATCACAGGCACACACATAGCCATCACACACACTTTTTTTTTTGCCATGCTAGAGAATGAACCAGGACCAAACTCATGCTAGGCAAGTGCTCTACTGCTGAGCTATAGCCCTTTAACTTTTTTTAACATGTAAATATATTATGTATACAATCAGTCATATTTTCAAACAGTAGATGTTTATAACACAGAAAGTGGAAATTGTCTCCAACCACTACCGTCCAAAGGTTAGCAGTGTTCCTGGGTTGCCATGGTTCCCTTTAGATGCCTTTATTCTGTGCATACACAGCATGAATTTCACTTAGCTACTTAGTGGGATTTCTTCTCCCCCTCACAGTAATGGTCACCCCTCCATGCTGTTCTTGACCTGTTTTTATACTCTATCCTGAATGGCTGTCAATATGTGCAGTTCACCATAGCCACACGATGGCCCTTTTGTAAAGAAACAAACAAACAAAACCCCCAAACAACAGCAGCAAAAAACAAGCACCAGTGTAGCATGGTGTCTCCTAGCTAGCTCTTGGTTTTATGCACCAAGAGGAGCAGAGGTGATGGTTTCTGCAAGGCGTTTGAAAACTTTGCCCCTGCAGCAATACGGGCACTTTGGATCTCGCCGGCCTCACGTCTTTGTTGAGTGAGAAAATCAAAGAATTCCTCCAGGATAAGAAAGTGCAGACCTTCTACCAGCAGGAACTGGAAATGGTGGAGTCTTTGCAGTCCCTGGCCAGCCAGCCTGTGCTTCACAGCGCCTGCTCGGACCAGGTAAGTGTGGCATGCTCATGGGGGACTCAGCCTGCACCTGAAGGGTGAGGGCATGAGTGACTGGCGGGAAGACTCGAGGGGTGGAATCCAAAAGCAGAGGTCCCGGTTCTAGCATGTGCCATTTCTATTCTGGAAAGGTCACTGACCACTAGGAATTTGAAATGCGGCTGGGTCTGCCCTTGTCCGCCCTTTCCTTAATCACATTGCACTTAATGTCTGAGGAGAAAGCAGCAGGCTGAGGTCACAGCACCTCGCTGTCAGTACTCCCTGAGATGGGCATTTAATCTCGGAGCAGGTAAAGGAGGGTAGGGAGGTAAGAGGAGAGAATCATCCTCCCTCCAAGATGATGATTGGCCAGCAAGGTGATGCCTGAACCAGGGCTTTAATGACTTGATCTTTTCCTTGAAAAGGTTACTCTGCCGTGTTGTAGGAATTCAGATGAAGGCCAAGCTGCATTCAGTCACGTTCATAACTAAAAAGTTCAAGAACTTTCCTGTTGCTCTTGGTGACACCTCTGCCCAGTCTTGCGTTCCTCATGTCCCCAGGCTGGTTTGTTGTTCAGTGTTTCTGTCATATGCAATCAAGACTCACTAGAAATTGTGGGTTTAGGCTTTCCTTGCCTTTCTGTTCTTGGGTTTTTGCTGTTGTGTGTGACTCACGTATTTCCTTTTAACTGTGTAGTCTCAGCTCACAGATCATCTCCTGGCCTCCTCACCCTCTCTGATTGCTGCTTGCCTGTCACTGTCTTCAGAGATCTGTATCTGAATGTCACTTGCGCTGCTGTGTTCTGACCCCATTGTGTGCGGCGCCATGGGTACTCGCCCTCCGTCAGTTACATCCTGGTCTGTGATGTCACTAGCATATCTATTCATCTACCAGAATGTAAGGCCTGTGAGAGCAAAGGACCTTCTGTCTTATTCTTTGCTCTCTACACAGCCTCCAACAGGACTGGAGAAAGCAGACTATAGTTAATGAATGACAGTTTTGTAAAATCCAGATGGTCCCAGAAAGTGACAAGTGTGTTTCCCTCCCATCCTCTCCCCCACCCTGTTCCTGGTCTCTGGGTCAAGCACCATCCTAGTCTCCTGAGCATGTACCTGGCTATATGCTGAGCCCATATTGGCAGTGGTGGTTACAGCCCTTCTTTTCATCCACATGGGAGCACACTGTGGTCTTCTTCGGGAGACCTAGGTCTTCAGTGAGCAGTGCGTCTTTCCATTCATCTTTCCATTCTTTCCTGGTAGAGTCTGCCACCATCTAAACGCTCAGTACCTGTACCCAAGGATGAGTTCACACATACTCAGTCTCCATTCTGCAGCTGTCCTGACATTTTCCAGTCCTCCAATCACCAGCCAGGCTGCTCTGAGTGTCCTATCTCATTCGGCATGCTGCTGGGGGAACAGGTACCATCTCACCACCCCAGCTCCTGCCTGACCCTTGCTTCTTGGATTTGTTCACACGCCTAATTACCTCTTCCTGGCAACAGGCTGTGTGCCCAGTGACCCAGGATTTCATACAGAGATATGAGGGCTAGTGTTTCAGAAAACACTCAGGTGGAGAAGGTCATGGCTGAGAGCTTTGTTCTTTGCCAAGGTTGCCTCTAAACAGCCTTGTCTCTCCAGCTGTCCACTTCCCATTGGCCATATTTCCATTTTATCATTTAGAAGATCCTCAGAGCCAAAGACCCCCTAGGACTTCTGATGGCTCTCACTGTGTGGCCAGTAACTCCCTCCCTCCCTGTCTTCTCTCCCCTTTTCCTTTTAAAACATCTTTTCAATTACATGGTGTGTGTGTGTGTGTGTGTGTGTGTGTGTGTGTGTGTGTGTGTGTGTGTGTGTGTGTGCACATGCACTAACTCGTGCACACACTTGTGCACATGCCACAATGAGTGTGTAGAGGCCTGAGGACAACCTGCAAGACTCCACTCCATCCTTCTGCCATTTGGGGCCCAAGGATCAAGCTCATGTTGTTAGACTTGGCAGCAAATACCTTCATGCTGTTGTTTGTTTCTTTTTCAGGGATGGGAGCCGCCACCCAACCCCCAAATAAATCACACACGAAGGCTTATTATTATTACTTATGAATGCCCAGCCTTAGCTTGGCTTAGTTTCTAGCCAGCTTTACTTAAATTATCCCATCTACCTTTTGCCTCTGGACTTTTCCTTTTCTGTCCCTGTATACCTTTCTCTGTTTCTTACTTCGTGGCTGGCTGTGTAGCTGGGTGGCTGGCCCCTGGAGTCCTCCTCCTTCTCTGGCTCCTCACTAGTTCCCTTCACTCCACTTTTCTCCTTCTATTTATTCTCTGCCCGCCAGCCCCGCCTATCCTTTCTCCTGGCTTGCTATTGGCCAGCTCTTTATTAGACCATCAGGTGTTTTAGACAGGCACAGTAACACAGCTTCACAGAGTTAAACAAATACAACATAAACAAAAGCCACACCCCTTCAAACAATATTCTACTACACCTTCACTTGGAGGCAAGCACCTTTCCCCGCTCAGCATCTCACAGGCCCTCCTTTTCTTTTGAGACATGATCTTGTTCTATAGTCCAGGCTGTCCTGGAACTTGCTATATAACTTAGGCTAGCTTCAAATTCATGGTCCTTCTGCATCAGCCTCTTATGTTTTAGGACTTCATGTATGTGCTACCACGCCCGCTACGAGGAAACATTACTAAGTAGTGAAGCCCACCTTCATGTGGAGCCACGATGCCTACAATGAACTAGGAAGACTTAAGGACCCCCAGTCAGAATGGGCAATGGGGGAGTTGTGGAGTGGTATCTTTTAGAAGAAGCTTAGGGCAGAAAATTGTGCCTGCCCAGTGCTGCGTATTTAAAAAGAAAGGAATCCAATCCGGTGCTGCATTTGTTTTTCTTTGAAAACGATTTCTTCCATCAATTATGAATCAGTCGGTTGAATTGCACTGCTTGGGAGGTCAGTGTCACTCACCTGAATTCCATTTAGCAGCACCCTGGGAGACCGCAGATGCTCACAACGACACAGAAACCCGAGAGCCTTGGGCGGTCCCATTATCACTCACGGAAGCTCAAGTCCCTTTCTCTTTCTTTCTTCTGATTTTTTTTTTTTAAGCATCACCCTTCTTAGCAAATCCAGAAACCTGATAAGCAGATCTTGCAAAACCATTGTTTCTCTGACAGCTGGATGAATGCTGAGTTTGTTTGGGAGTGCAGACTATATATATTTCAGGAAGCCACCCGGTTCCTGCAGGGCCTGAGCCCCAAGACACTGCTTCACTCTGTGAGCAATTTTGGTTTCCTGAATCGCACATGTCTGTCATTGTTCCTTTGAAAATGACAAGCAAAACACAGATCTCAGTCCAGGAAGCTGCTGGCTTTCCAGAAGAGACCCCTGGAGGCCCTGCTCCCAGGACGGAGGTCTTTAAACCAGCCTGGGAAGCACGTCCTGAAGTCACGTGAGGCAAGTGTCTCTGGAAGGATGTTTCCGTGTTGTTTGTAGTTGCCGAGAGCCGATGGAGTCTGCTTTGCCCTCCCTGTCACGGCTGAGCCTCCTTTGCTCCCCTAGGCCTGCATGCCCTCCTCCGGCTATCCCAGCCTCTCAGAGGAGGGAGCTGATGCGCATGTGAGATTGTCCAGCAGTGTGAAGGCAAAGCTGTGAACAGACACATCAAAACTGAGGCACGGAACAGTTAGCAGGTGTGACCCTCCAGAGAGACTTCCGGCAGTGCCTAAATACCGGCCTGCTCAGCGGACACAGGCCTAGAGTGCGCTGACTCAGCACAAGCAAAGCCTGTTGGGTGAATTCATAAACCAGTCAGTCTGGGGAGTTAGTCGTAGGTGATGGAAGATGAAACTTAACTTCTGTTTCCTCCCTGTGCAGGTGGGATCCAAGAGCAGCACCACTTCCAACACAGTTCACAGTGTGTTTAAGAATGCTATACAGCTGCTGCGGGAAAAGGGACTCCTGTTCCAGAAAGATGGTGGCTATGATAAGCTGTACTACGTAAGAGATCTGCAGCTTAAGTTCCTCTTTGTAGTTTCCATTACATACACATTGCTACTTAGGAACGCCTACCTACTTGTTTCTAAAATAATCTTCAGGAGGCGTAGAAGTCAGAAGTGCATGTTAGCTTTTACCTCTTCGAAATCTAACTCTTACCACTGGTTTTGTGAAACAGTCTTGAGCTGTAGCCCAGGTTGGCCTTGAACTCATAACCTTCTGCCTCCATCTCTCCAGTGCTGGGATTGTAGGCATGTGCCACTACACCCGACCCATGCAGCCTCTTGAAACCTAGTATCCTTCTAAATATTTATTTGTGCATTGACAGATGAATAATTTAGAAATATGTTCCTATGGCTTTTTTGTTTTATTTTTTGAAAAAGCAATCATCTTCTAACTCAGAAATCCTTATCCTCAGCAGCACTGGTCAGATGAGAGTCAGGGACTCTCCTGCACACTGTAGAGTGCGTACCAGCATCCCTGGCCTTACCCACTCAGCACCAAGCATCTCCCATGTTTGGACAACCAAAACCGGCCTTAGGCATTACGAGATGTCCCACTGCTGCAGTAACACGCGGCACCTCTTTTGGAACCGTGGTCCACCCCCATCACCCTGGCACGCCAGTACCTGTGAATCTACCCCGCTCTTCCTGATACCCTTGGTTCTGCACTATGAGTATTCACCAGGACTTTCTAGCCATTCTTTTTTGACAAACACTAGGGTGTTGTGTGACTTTTGTTATCACAAATAGTGTTGCCTGGCCTAGCTCCGTGGCTGTCTCTGTGAATTCAGTCAGAATTCCCACGACTGACCCAGGAAGGAGAGCGTTTTCGGGTGGCACCTCCGGTCAGCCTCCCTGAAGGCCTTGCCTCCCCACAGAGAACGGGCATGGCTGCTCGTTTGCCTCGTTCTTTTGAAGTTAAAAGTTTGCCTCTTGCTGCCTACCTTTGATATTGGAGGCACTATGCTAGGCCTCCTGGAACCACCCATGTCCTCTGCAGAGGTGGCTGAAGGGGAACCTCCTGGAGACAGGCTGGAGGGCCTCACTGCTGTCAGACTCACTAGGGGTTTCCTCAGCAGGGCATTTCCTCTTCCTTTGTTTCAGTGGGAGGGGTTTTCCACTGTGTTGAGTAACTTGTGGGGGAGGCAGTCTGCTCTTACAGGAGTGCTGTCCACCCAAGGATGGGAGGACATGGCGGCTGGCCGTTGTCAAGCCAAGCAGGGAAGCTCAGCTGGAGTCCTCTTGGACACTTGTGCCTCCTTGCTCTCTGGGGTGGCCTCTCTGAGGGTCTGTAGAGAGCAGCCCTCCCTGTGAAGCAGCAGGAGCCAGGGCAGCTGCCCAGGCGAGGTGTGGCAGGGCTGGGCACTTCCTCCTGTGAATCACCGTGAGCTGGAAGGGTAGTCAAACAGGAACAGATCCCGTGTCCCCTTCTGTGACTGACCCTCCCCTTCCACTCACGCCTGATTTGTGCGTTTCCTTTCTCCTGAGGCCCTGCTGGACATAGTTATCATAGCAGTACCCACACTTCTGTCTGCCCGCACACTCTTTTCACACTAACCTCCTCAGTTAAAAGTCATCCCGTGGCCTGCTCTGTAAGTCAGGTCTCACAGGCGTCCGTCCGTGGGCTTCTCTACCGCCCAGGGCTTGAGCTGTCACAGGCTGGACTCTTCCTCCCCCCTTTTATATGCTGTTTCCGTCCTTCCTCGCCACTCCCCTCCTACCTTCTTCCCCTCCCTCCCTCCCTCCCCCGCCTTCCCTTTGTCTTCCCTCCTCCCTCTTCCTCTTTCCTTCCTTCCCTTTTGCCCCCCCCCACCCCCCCCCCCGTCTCTTCTGTTACTGTATTTCCTGCTGGACCTGAGCGTGAAACCTGCTGCTCATTCAGAAAGAACCATGGTTGTGTCTGCCTACGAGGACAGAGGGCGTTTTCGATAAACTAGATGTTCTGCCTTGCTAGCTTTCTCATGCCCACTTCTTCTTTAATTCTTCCTTGTGTTTAGAAGAAGAGAAACTAAAGAAATACAAGACAGGCGTGGGGGCGGAGAGGGAGGAGTGCTGGGATGATGGGGGCGGAGAGGGAGGAGTGCTGGGATGATGGGGACAGAGGGAGGAGTGCTGGGATGATGGAGACAGAGGGAGGAGTGCTGGGATGATGGGGACGGAGAGGGAGGAGTGCTGGGATGATGGGGACAGAGGGAGGAGTGCTGGGATGATGGGGACGGAGAGGGAGGAGTGCTGGGATGATGGGGACGGAGAGGGAGGAGTGCTGGGATGATGGGGACAGAGGGAGGAGTGCTGGGATGATGGGGATGGAGAGGGAGGAGTGCTGGGATGATGGGGACGGAGAGGGAGGAGTGCTGGGATGATGGGGACGGAGAGGGAGGAGTGCTGGGATGATGGGGACGGAGGGAGGAGTGCTGGGATGATGGGGACGGAGGGAGGAGTGCTGGGATGATGGGGACGGAGGGAGGAGTGCTGGGATGATGGGGACAGAGGAGTGCTGGGATGATGGGGACGGAGAGGGAGGAGTGCTGGGATGATGGGGACGGAGGGAGGAGTGCTGGGATGATGGGGACAGAGGGAGGAGTGCTGGGATGATGGGGATGGAGAGGGAGGAGTGCTGGGATGATGGGGACAGAGGGAGGAGTGCTGGGATGATGGGGATGGAGAGGGAGGAGTGCTGGGATGATGGGGACAGAGGAGTGCTGGGATGATGGGGACGGAGAGGGAGGAGTGCTGGGATGATGGGGACAGAGGAGTGCTGGGATGATGGGGACGGAGGAGTGCTGGGATGATGGGGACAGAGGGAGGAGTGCTGGGATGATGGGGATGGAGAGGGAGGAGTGCTGGGATGATGGGGATGGAGAGGGAGGAGTGCTGGGATGAAGGCCAGAGGCTTTGAGCACTTGTGCTCCTTCAAAAACACCACAGCAATAAGGGAAATGTTGTGAGTGGGTTACAAGTGTGTACGAAGAAAACTGCCCCTTCAAGGCACAGAATTCTAGTTGTTCTCTACCTTCTGGCCCCGATGAACTGGCTCCTGAGAGTGACTCAGATACCTAGGGACAGAGCTGAGTTGCCCAAGCCTAACATCAGGACCACAATCTGGGGGTGGGGGGGTGGGGAGGCAGGCGGGGGCAGTAATTTTCATGGAATCTGCAGAACTGTTCCTCATGTTCATTTGAATTCTGATTGACACACTGCTGTGTTCCCAAACCATGTTTTCTTGCTGGACTCTCCAGGTGACCAACAAGGACAAAGACCTGCACCAAAAGATCTACCAGATCGTTAAGGAAGAGTGCCAGAAACCAAATCGTAAGTGGCATAAGGTACAGATGGTGATGAGCTGGTGCATCCAGGGTTCCCTCCCCAGAACTAGATGGAATCAGGATGTTCAGGAAGAAGACAGCCAGGGCTTCTGTCCTCTCCGAGCCTCAGTTTCCTCTCCTTTAACACACACGTTCTCCTCGAATAGTCACTTGGACTTTGGTTAGATGGAGAAGTCAACACTAGAGCACCTTTAAACACCCGTGGGGTTTCTGATCCTGTAGGGAACAAGCTGGAGGCTGACAGCTAAGCTCCCCGGGATTTCTGACACACTGAAGCGAGCCGCCATGCTTAGCTTTGAGATGGGCTCCTCGTCCCCATGTCTTCAGTTGCAATGTTTGTTACCCGTGCCTTTAAACATTAACTTGACATTTCCCCTCATTTCAAACATCAAGGCCTTTTAGGGTGGGGCAGACTGGTTCTCGATATTATGGCTCATGAATAATGAAATTCAGTCATCTTGGAAACTGGTAAGTTATAAATGAAATGGCTTGGAAAGTAGTCTGGTTTTGTGGGGTTAGGTCAGCCTCTAGTGGCCAGACACTGACACTGTAGCTAGTGTGACAACATGGGTACAGATTTCACACTCATTACAAATATCAGCCTCTAGCGGCCAGACACCGACACTGTAGCTAGTGTGACAACATGGCTAAGAATTTCACGCTCATTACAAAGAAAACATGGGTCTTACCTTTGAGTCTGTATGGATTTGTCAGTCTTCAAGGTGACTTTTCAGAGCCTACCTTGTAAACATATGCCAGTAACAAATCCTTATGTCATCATGATCCTGAAACAGGAAGGGTTGTTAGCCCTAGGCCCCCATCCTGTTTCCTTTCTCTCTGGAGAAGACATCACTCCCTTCAGACCCAGACAGACAGGCTGAGTCACAGGTAGAGTGGGGTTGCGTCACCCACCCTGTTGTTTAGGACCCAGTGAGATCAGAACCCAATGTGTGTAACAACCAGTCTTTTAATAAAACAACCAGAGCTGGAGAGATGTCTCAGCATGTAAGAGCACTAGCTGCTCTTCCGAAGGTCCCAGGTTCAATTCCCAGCACCCACATGGCAGCTCACAACTGTCTGTAACTCCAGTTCCAGGGGATCTGACACCCTCACACAGACATATATGCAGGCAAAATACCAATTCACATAAAATATAAGTAAATATTTAAAAAAACAACAAAAAAACTCAAAGCAATCTCTTATTTTAGTAAATGAGTGTTGTTCAGTTTATTCAGAATAATAATAAAAGCACCCAAAGCAGGCATGGTAGTGTGGACCTGTAACCCCAGCACTGAGAAGGCTGAGGCAGGATGGTGAGTGCTCAAGGGCAGCCAGGGATAACAGAGTGAGACACACACTCTCTTTCTCTCCCTCCCCATCTCCTTCTTCCTCCCTCCCCGTTCTGGGGTGTGTGTGCACCCGTGTGTGCACGTGTGTGTGCATGGACTCCAAAGAAGACTCTCGGTGTCCTGCTCTCTCTCTTTCTCCCTAAATCTGGAGGTGGGCTGGCAACCAACGTGCTCCAGCTATCTCCTGTCCCCACCCCCGCTCTCCACACGCGCACACACACACACACACACACACACACACACACACACACACACACACACTCACACAGTGCTGGGGTTACAGTCTCTGTCCCCACCCCCTTTAGTTAAGAGAGGAAGCATGTCCACTGTCTAAGGAGTAGTGCTTTGCACAGTTCCCAGCCAGAAGGGGTGAGGAGGTGCTGTGGTCCCAAGAATCATCCCTCTACTCTGAATCCCAGGCCCCTCAGCTTAGGTTGAAATTGAGACGAAAAGCTTATAGCTTGGCACCTGTAAAGTAAATGAAAGGGATTCACACTTTCTTTCTTGGGTGGACCTACAGCCTGGTGATAATGCCAGTCACTGGGCTGTTAATCTCCTCCAATTCCCTGATTTCTGAGTGGAAAAACAAGCTTTACATCTTTCTCATTGGATAGACAATCCTGCACGCTTAACATTCTGGTTTTCCTGGAGATCTGTGGGCTCAAGGACCTTCATGCTGTGCTCCCAACACATGAGGGCCTCTAAGAGCTATAGGCCAATCACCTAGCTCAAATAACATCCCAGTGATTGACATTATCTGTTGGGGCAGGCTACATCAAGTTCCTACAACCAAGACTGCAGTGGCTAGTAATCTAAATGACCCTTATAGTCAGGGGCTCTCCTAAGCTCACAACCAGGAGTGGAGACACCTAATAGTCCAAATGACCCTTACACTATCTGTGTAGCCAGCAACTTAATTCTAGGTTACAAAGTCCTGGTGCAAGACCTCACAGAAACTCTTAGTGTTGGCTGTGACCACTTGTCTTCCTGTTGTCATGACTGGTGGCACTAAAGAGGATTGTTCCTAAATAATAATGTATGCAGATCCTAAAATGTCAGACAGTGTGAAACTGCACAGAGAAGTCAGATACCATACCCTCTCCACACCAGGCCAGCATCCACCCAGGGATGCTCCGTGCACTTGCACCCAGCCAGCATCTGTCCAGGGATGCTCCGTGCACTTGCACCCAGCCAGCATCTGTCCAGGGATGCTCCGTGCACTTGCACCCAGCCAGCATCCATCCAGGGATGCTCTGTGCCCTTGCACCCAGCCAGCATCTGTCCAGGGATCTCCGTGCACTTGCACCAAGCCAGCATCCATCCAGGGATGTTCCAGGCACTGGCAAACACAGAGTCTGTCTTTTTTTAGAAACTCAAGGTTAGCCTGTAATCTGTATTGTCTCCACCTTGCATTTTCCACCCAGCATTGACTTCTAGAGCTCATTGGCAATTCCACTGTACATAGAAAAGGGCCTCAAACTTGTAAACAGCTGCATGGTTTCCACGGTTGTCCAGAGAGGTTAGCTGGCCATTTGTTTAGTCATTCCTGCTGGGCCTTTAGTTCATCTCTTACCTTTCATATAAAATAAGCATTGGGCTGGAGCCCCTTGTTCATTTATGGTGTCTGAACAAAGGCTGAGACCACAGCAGGGAAAGTGTCTACACTAAACCTGTTTTAGGTCCCCTTGAGAGGGGTTTGTCTGAAAGTGGGCAGCATGTGGCATCAGAAAGAACCTAGCTACAGAACAGGTGACAGTGGTGTCTACCTGAAGGATCATTATGAGAATAAGGTCACAAGTTGTTGAGTCCTAATTTAGGCTGGAGAGAGCTGAGAAAAGTGAGGTTCTCTTTGCCCGTGGGACAGTGACTGATAGCCCTTACCTCTAGCCTAGGGTCCTGAAGGGTCATCTTCGCTCTCTACCCCTTAGCTGAATATTGAAACAGGGACTAGCAATTTCAGGCGGAATCTTTGTGTAGATTTTTCTCTATTATAGGTGGCTTAGAGGTTAAAAACCCTGGATTTCAGCTTTAAGCGTGGTATAACAGTGGTAAATTATCCTAAAAAGAGTTCTACATTGAAAATGTCTTTTTACTCAGAAAATGTTCTCACGAGTAGAAAAACTAAGCACAAAACATGCACATAAGCTTCTTCTCATTTAGATTCACTGGAAGACGTCAGCCCTTCAACCCAAGGACACCCATGTATCCAGACAGTGGAACTGCTGGGGCTTCTAAAATGACAGCATTTGGGGAGTAATGAGTGGGCACAGCCACTAGAGGTCGCAATCTAATTTTTGTTAGCTCAGGACCTTAGCCCATGGGAGGACCACAAAAAGATTGTCCCTGTCCCACAACCAACAAACAGAAGAGAACTGGTTTTGTGGGGTGCTCTGACTTGCTCAAAGCTGCAAAGCACATGAGGGTCAAACTATGCTTCACTGAGTGCCATCCTGGGACCTCAGGCCCTTTTGTTACCACATGAATGCCCATCAGCTGGTTCATGCCAGAGCTGGAGCTCCAAGGGAAGGACTCTCTCTCTCTCTCTCTCTCTCTCTCTCTCTCTCTCTCTCTCTCTCTCTCTCTCTCTCTTTCTCTTTTTTTAAGATTTATTTATTATATATACAATGTTATGTCTGCATGTATGCCTGTAGACCAGAAAAGGGCACCAGATCTCATTACAGATGGTTGTGAGCCACCATGTGGTTGCTGGGAATTGAACTCAGGTCCTCTGGAAGAGCAGCCAGTGCCCTTAACCTCTGAGCCATCTCTCCAGCCTTTCTTTTTGACTCAGGATAATGTTTATGTCACAAGACATCTGCACTAAGTAACGTGACAAAACATAATGCAGTGCATTCTCACTTTCTGTTGTTCTAGTCTATTCTAGTCTCCTTGGTAGGAAAAAAAAAGAATGCTAACCCATGAAAGTAGAATTAATGATCCCCGAGGGCCCCAACTCTCAGGAGGAAAGCCAAGGAAGGGGGTTGTCAGCCCTCAGCTTTCATCATTGGGTACCCAATGGCCTTAGTTTGGGGTCAAAAGGCAAAGGTCACTAAACTATAGTTGTTACAGATATGACCCAGTGGGAGCCAGGAGAGGAAACATGGACAGGCATGTTTCCTAAACGTAGGAATCCTTTGGCTGTGGGACCCCATCAAGTCAGGACCTCTAAGAAAGACCAGCTCTGCTGTGAGTCTCCAGAGGCCACTTCCTGTGAAGCCAGGGGTGCGGTGCCATGTACCAGAGGAAAGGGTTTGTCAGGACATACAGTTACTGGTTGGAGTCCTTGAATATGGAGGATCAGAGCGTTGAGAAGTAGGCTCTGTCAGTGTGGAGGCATGCATGTAGAGCCTGGACCTGGTTCTGGCTGTGTGATCACATAGACCAGTACACCTCAGACCTTGATTCGAGAAGAATCATCCTGGATCTTGCCGTGATGCCAGTGCTGGCTCAGGAGGCCTGGAAAGGGATGGAGGAGGGCCTGACATCACGGTCGTGTTTGCCCATAGATGTGGAGAAGGGATGCCACTTGATGCATATCCTGAGCTGCGTGCACCTGAACCTCCGCTGGGACCTGAACAAGGCTGTGCTGCAGCAGGTGCTGGAGTTCCTGGAGGACCAGAGTGACATCGTGAGCACTGGAGCTCACTACTATACTGCCTTCTGAGCAGAACTGCGGACCAAAGCTAGGCGGCTTTACCCCGGGTTCTACTCACAGGCATTGTACAGGGACTTACGTGTATATATTTAACCTCATAATAAATTCTATTATAGTCACTGGGAAAATAGGATTTGGCTTCCTTCTACTTGCTATGTCCCTGGGATAAATGGCTTTGATATCAGCCATGACATACACAAGCTGTCCTTGTCACCTCCTGGCTGGACTTAGTGTCACTCAGAACAGAATGGGAGTAAACAGTGTTGCTGGCTTAATCACTGTGTCTGAACTTAGGGACCCTATCTTGATAGAGGGACATCCTAGGGTAGAGGCTCCTGCACATCTGGAACTGGAGAGGCAATGGCCAGACAACATTGCTTGAAAACTTTTTCAGACTCCGTGCTACCAGATACATTCCCACTGGCTTCCCTGTGTGTTAAAAGCTGACATAGGGACATAGTCTCCTGGAGTGATTGACATTTGCCTCTGGTTCCTGAGGCTGCAGCACTAGCAGTGAGGCCGAAGACCTGGGATGCTGAGGTTTTCAGATCTACCCTGGACACAAAAAGGATCTGAGACTCGGCTGGCATTTTGATTCTTTCCCTATGACTTGAAAGTTGTCTCAGAACATTTTCCTGCACTCCAGGAGGTGCACAGCTGAATGTGTGGTCCCTTGGTGCCCCTGAAGATGGAAGAGGCTGCCAGCTGGTTGTCTGGCTGGTGCTGTTATTTCCCAGGTTGCTGCTGAGTGTGCAGAACTTGCCATCCAGACGAAGACTTGGTATGTGCCCAGACAGGTGGCGGAGTCGTACTTTTGCTCAGAATGACAAGGTAGAGAAAACATCTGAGTTATGTAGTAGGCTTGTTCTAACATCAAATGGTAGATCCAGCCAGCAGAAATAAAGTATGGAGAGAGATTTGGAGTTAATTACAGTCATTTCACAGAGGGTACATCTGCCTGAGTCTGCTGTGCTGGCTTTTGACGTCACAGAGTCGGGATGGCTCAGCTGGAAATCCCTCGGGCCCAGGAGCTGTTCCACCCTATGTGGATGAGCGGTTCTACAGTCACAAGCCAGAGTTCAAACTGGAGATCCCTTCCTGTCCTGGCCTCCTCCGACCTCTGGTGCCGCCTCACTCACAGGGATGACACAGCCAGCTGTCTTCCCTGTGCTCGGAAGGGTCTCGGCTAAATAGGATCTGCATGGAGTTCTTCCTGCAGGTCAGCAGCTGGTCCATGTTGAATACCTCCTGATTCATGGCGCTTCTCAGGAGGGAGCCTAGAATTAGAAGTAAAATGGGCATGTGCTGGATCAAGCAGCCCCATTAGAATTCCTCTCCAGAGAAAAACCATGCAAGTATGAAAGAAAGCATAAACGCACAAGATGCCCATTACTGCCTAATCTACAGCAACTTATATTTGGAGAAGTTAAATATGAACACATGATGAAATACTACATAGCCACTAAAATGATGGCACAGATGGCTACTGTTGCCATGGGGCAGTATTCCCAGATGTGGCAGGAGGAAAATCGAGTTACAGGGCTGTGTGGTATAAAGCCATTGATAGAAAGCTCCCTGTGTGTCTTCACATAACCAGTAAGTGTGTGTAGTGCAGGTCTACACAGACACAGCTCAGTTCCTCCACCTAGAACAGTGATTCTCATCCTGTGGGTCTCACACCTCTGGCAAACCTCTATCTCCAAAAATATTTACGTTACGATTCCTAACAAACAGCAAAACTGCAGTTATGAAGTAGCAATGAAACAATTTCATGGTTGGGGTCACCACGGTATGAGGAGCTGCATTAGAGGGTCGCAGCCTTAGGAAGGTTGAGAACCACTGCTCTAGAAGCCCTTGCTGCATTTACCTTCCAGGACTGCACCAAATCCTGGGCTGCACCTCTCCTTCTCTTAGTCATCTGTCTCCCCAAGTGCCCAAGACGGAGTCTCAGCCGCAGACCTCATTTCTAGCTGGCGTCTTCTCCAGGGATCCTAACCTCATGGGCCATGCCATTTGCATACTGCCAGACTTCCCAGTTGGCATGAGGTTGGGACTGTCTGCCATCCTCACACCCCTATATGTAACCTCATACTGGCATCTGCTTAGGTGTCTTGGGGACATCACCAGCTTGTCATGTTCAGGGCCAGTCTCGGGATCACCCAGCCTCCCTTGCTCCTCAGAGCCCCCTGATGCAGGAGAAGCCGGCGCCATTCCCAGATGCTCAGGCCAAGTCCATCAACATCTTTCTCATAGCCCACACCCGAGCTGTACAGTCACAAATTTGACTCCTTCAAAATGTTTCTAGAACATACTTCTCCCTCTCCCACCTTCCTGGAGTATTGCTGTCACCTCCTCACTGCCCTCTGTCTCCTGCTTCATCACATTCTCAGCATGGCATCCACAGGACCCTATGCTGCTCACTCCCCATGGCTTTGGGTCTTCTTTAGGCAGGAGCATGAGGCATCCCAGTAGACACCAAGGCTCCGCTACGCCACACCTCACCGCACTGTGCTCAGCCTTTTTTAGTCTTGCTGGGCACCATGCACCAGGTGTATTGTTGCCTGGTGACAGGCCCCTGCTCTTGTCCTTCAGGTCTTTGTCTGACTCACCTTCTCAGTGAGGCCTACCCCAGCCCTCTTGGCTGATTGTAACCAATTTCTGCTCCCCGGCTTTGTTCTGCCCACAGTGCTGGTTACTGCCTAACACACTCCAGATGTCTGCCGGCTTTCCCTGTTTATCATCTGTCTCCCGAGGAGAATGCTCTAGGAGACTAGAATTCTCTCGTTTCCTGTGTGCCCAGTACCCAGAGCAGTGCCCGGCGCATCTTTCAAAAATCCCACTTCTGTTTGTGGCTGGCTGTTTTCCAGCTCCTCATGGCAGCCTCTCCTGAGGGTTTTCCCCAGTGTTTGGAAATTTCTTCAGACTGGGAGCACTCAGAATTAACATCCCCCAGAGACAAACGCGGCCAGGGCACCTGGGGCATAGGGACTCAGGTTCCCTTGTCCTTCTGAGGAGGTGTGGCGGTGGCATGTGCTGTCAGAGTTTCTTTACACTATCCAGTGTCATCCACCCCTCCTAGCCGCCAACTTGATATCTACCAGCATTCCTTCCTTGTCGTTGCTGCTCCCCATCCCTGGTCTCTGCGTCCCCCACGTAAAAGGTTTTGCTTTCTTGAAGTCTTTGCCTCAGGGTCAGTTTCTAGACAACACCACATGAATATCATGCTCCCTGATTCATTTGAGAACTGTTGTGTAGATAACTACATACGTCAAACATTGCTAGAAATGCTCCCCAAAGCTAACATCTGTTCCCTCTGAAAAGTGAGATGTCAAATGCTTTCAAATTAATGTCTTTACAAATATTAGCTCTTAATTTATTATTAAAAATAATAAAGTGGGCCAATGAGATGGCTCAGCAGGTAAAGGGACATGGCTAGTGACCTGAGCTCGGTCCCCAGAGCTTTGTAAAAGTGGAAGGAGAGTTGTCCTTTGTTCTCTGCGTGTGCAATATGGAATGCACATCCCTGAGCACATACATATACTAATAATACATTTAACATAAGAAGCTGGACAAATGGGTCAGTGTTTAAGAGCATATATTGCTTTCACAGAGTTCCATTTCCAGCAGCTACATAAGGTAGTTCACAACTACCTGCCACACCAGTTCCAGGGGACCCAACACCCCTATCCTCCTCTGCACCATGTGCACATGCCCACACAGACAGACAGACAGACACACACACACAATTAAAAATAATGTTATTTCTCATCCCCACCCACCAGAAACATAAGTAAAGAAGACTGAGTCCTTTCCCCCACAGCAGTGTGAGGACACTGCAGAGCTGAGGGAAGGTCTTGGAAAGCCCTCAGGGGGGCTTAATGCAGTTGAACTACAGCTTATGTCCATACAAAGACCAACGAGAGGGTCCCCAGAGAAGGAGGGGCACAGGGTAAAGTCCTCCAGCTCTGGTGCATGCTTGTTTGGAGAAGTGTGGGCATACACGTAGCCCGTGGAGGCGGGAAGACAAGTGGTGCTACTGTCTGGTCTTGGGTTTGTTTGAAGAGCCATGATTATCCCCATCTGGTAAACTACCAGTGCTTCTCAGTCCTCTAAGACACTTCTTTGTAATTATTTTCCTCTCTGATGGTGTGCCAGGACACTGGCCAAAAAAGCCAAGTGGGATAAAGTCCATTCAACTGTGAGGGACTCAAGACTCAGTGCCAATGATTGGAACCAAGCGAACTTCTAATTTTCCATTGGCAAAGCTTCTCTGCTTTCTTATTAATGTGGTTTTTCTTCCCCAAGTGGCTTCTACAAGGCTCCCCAAAAACATCTCTTTGTTCCCTTCCTAAGTTTATGGGAAGCCTATGGGAAACTGCAGCAGCAGGCACTGGGAAAAGGGTGTGCATGGCCATCCTGAAGGGGTGGTGTCCCAGGACAGAGCTTTGTGGCTGAGTCTTGGATGCCTGCTGTTCCCCTGGCAGAGGGCTAAATGTGAGCCTATACTCGATCCGTGGGGTTTTGTGTAGTGCTGAATTTTAATTCAGCTTATTTCTATTGAAATTTGCCAACCTGTCTACTGCCTGCTAACCTCGACTGGATGTATTAAGACAAAACAGGTAAACCCTGGAATAACACCAGGTTTTATACTCAGGAGAATTCCAAATCAAACCCCAAAGTTCTGTTATGTCAAAGTAAAATGCTATGTTTCCATTTGGGATCAGAAAGAGGAAACTTGAAGACCACATGGTGGCTTTGGTTTGTGTCCCCCCCCCCATCTATTTATTGTGTGTGTATATACCTGGGCACACATGTATCAGAGGACAACTTATGTGAGCTGGTTCTCTCCTTCTACCTTGTGGGTCCCAGGGATTGAATTCAAGTTATCAGGCCTGATGTAGAGTGCCTTTACCTACTGAGCCATCTCATAGGCAGGCAGAGTAATACAGCTTTACACAGTTAAACAAATGCAACATAAAAGAATGCAACACATCTTTGCATCATTAAACAAATATTCCTCAGCATAAACAAATGTAACACATCTTAAACTAATATTCCATAACATTTCCCCCTTTTGTCTAAATAACAAAGGTTTTAACTTTAACATAGTAAAACTATATACAATGAAAACAGTTATCAAGTAAGAATTACATTTACAATATTCAGTCCATTTGTATTTAGCAAATTCAGAGAAAATACTTCATTATCTTAGTGATTCCAAAGTTTTATACCTAATTTGCTTTCCATCATAACTAAGGAAAACTGTAACTCTAACTATTTAGTCTTTAACTCCATCAAAGACCCCAGAAGGAGTCTAACAACAGAGACATATGGCTGCCTAGATAGTCACCCAAAGTTCCTCTGCAGTGTTGGGGCATCCATCTTTGGCCTACAGGCCTAGAACATCTGGCAAACTTTCCAGTGAAGCACAAAATTTGAAGGACTGTCCCACCTTGTCTTGGCAAAGTCCAACAGTCTTTTTCCTTTGTGTCCTGATTGTGCAGTCTATACAGCATACTGTCAGCAGTCCAGGCAAGAGAAGTTTCTTGCCAGAATGGCTAGCCTTGCCACATTGAAATATGACCATCATCCTTTTATGAAGTAAATTGGTGCTGCCGGAAGCAAATGTGTCTCATTGTCATGAAAAAACTTAGATTGTTAAACATCTTAAATGACCTTCTGTATGTCTTTGAAGTGTTTGAAAATCATCTATCTGTGTAAAATATATCTATTTAACCTTGAAAACATACCTAATGTGACGACAAGTTTGATTATTATAAATTAACTACTAACCTCATTTCTTACTTATACATTGCATTTTTAAATGAGCTGCATAAGCACAATACCCCAAATAAGAGTAGAAACATATATACAGTATAACAAAAATAACTTTAAATTTCTATCAATATACCAACAT